TAAACACAAAATGAGTTAAAAATGAAGTTATTCTTCTTCTTCGTATTTCAAAACATGAATACTGCAGTATTCATAATCTCAAACAGAAAGAAGTATGCCGGATGTCAGCGTTGAGCAGGCTTTGCTTATTCATTTTATTACTGCTTATGTACTCGGTTAGACTCGCCCTGATGTTAAAGCCACCGTCAGTAACTTTTCTCTGCCTCTTAATATATCTTAATATTGTTGCGTCAGCATGACCTTCTTAAGCAAACCAGAAGATGCTCTATTTCTACATATTTATCCTCCGTGCTCGTCAGCGGTGCGTGATGAAACGCTGTGGCCTCACTGGAAACCAGACCAGGGCCTCGTGAACGCTGTGACCATGAGGGATGGGGGGGGGGGGGCACTACCACTGGCCTCCACATGGAGCGCCAAAATCCACACCATCCAACAAAAGCAAAGTTGCTCTTTGAATAGGCTTTTCCTTCCTTCACAGAGACGCTTCGGTGTGCGTCTCTCCGCCTTTCTGCTGCTCTCTCGGCGTTCTACACAACCGAAGGCTGCTTCCTTTCGCCGTTATTCGTCACACTTCTAATCGGCTCACGGCGGCGCATCGAATGAGGCACATTTCTCGTCTGGAAGGTCGAGGATAGTTTGCGCGAGGCCGCGGGCGTTTGAATCAAAGCCTCATCGTGGCTGGCGGCGTGTGAGGAAGTGATCTCCTCCAGACTAAGAAGCGCCGTGTAAAAGATTCCTTCTCGAGGGTTTATCTGTTCCCCGAGAGAAAACACCAGAATATAACTTGAGCATCTTAATTAGAGTCACATCCTCAACTCGATGAATCAGACGGCAGGATATTTATATACATAAAATCCGAGATCAGCTTTAATCCGTACCTCCTCACCCCCTCACCTCCTCACCCGCCAGTGTTCTTATGACTCACGATGAACTGCTCACACAGACGAGTTAGCGACACTTGACTTCTACACGAGGTCGTCGGGCCGGACAGCAGCTAGATAATGAAAATCCGTCGTTATCAGGTTTGCGGTACAATCTTCAGCGCTACACAAAGGTGCCGCCATGCTTTGACCCCCCCCCTTTGAAACGTCAGCCGAGCACTTTGTTTCCGCTTTGGTCGTCGCGCGGATTCAAAGCAGCCGCGACGTGTTGACGAGTGAGCTTCAGCTCTCGTGGCCCAAAGCGAAGCGCCGTGAAGTTTCTCCACGTTCTCTGCAGTTCCTGCTATTCTCTGCTGAAGGGCCAACCTGCTCAGACAGAGAGAGGAGGTCCGAGGGGGGTCTGATGGAGCACCTGAGCCCGGCAGGAAGCAGCTGGAGGGTCCTGATTGCTGTGCTGTGGACACACACAAACACACGCGCACAAAACAGACTCACAATCCCGGAAACACGTCAGGCATCGGTGACTCAGCAGGGCGCGTCAAAGCGATCCGCGATGCGGTTAATAATCACACGCTCCCATGTCATATATGTGTGTGTGTGTATATATATGAGAATGAACACACACGTGGCAGATGCTGCGTCCATTCTGCAGGAGGAGCTGGCTACAAAGCCAGGGGCTTTCCTGAGCACGTGTGCGCGTGCACGTGGTGTGCGTGCTCGTCCAGAGGTTGCTGGCTGTGTGAAGGCGAGACGGCCATGGAAACGCAGTGCGGCGTGCCAGAGTAAGAAAGCCCCGCCCCCCCCCCCCGTCTGACCTCATGATGTTGACTTCAGCGACGAGCCTCGGTGCTTTGACAGTTAACAACTTCCAGGCCTGTTCTCATCCTCATGTCGTCGTTTCTATTTCACTGGGAGCAACTGGCCCGAGCTGTGGCGTCTTACCGCGTTATTATTAATAAATACAAACAATAACAAACCCACAGCATTGAAGAGAGGCTTTATGACACAAACTGGTTTAAATACTGTTAACAGCGTGTAAAGATCACCTCAAACTCGTTTTTCTCTCTTTAGAAAAGGAAGGAAGGAAGGAAGGGAAGGATGGAAGGCAACAGGAAGCAGGAGGATTTATGGGAAATGTTCTCTTCATTATAGAAACCTTTGAACTATTTTCAGCATTGACTCATCTGCTGATTGGTTATAAATGATGTCATCTATACAAAGTCAAGTCAAAACCCCCTAAAGGTTTTTTTTTTGGTCACATTTATTAATAAAAAGTGATTAGAAATGTTTTGATTAATAATAATAATAGAGAATAATCTAAACATCTAACAAGGATCATTTCAAACAAACGTCCTAAGAGGAGGAATTCATGAAGTGACAGAGAAATTAATATTACTCGTGAGATATTTTATATTTAAACCCCCCCCAAAAATAGTTCATATGAAATGAAGCTCTCTGTTAAGTTAACACACGCTAACGCTGTAAAAAGCTGCTCGTGTTACCTTTTAGCTGGACAGACTTCCTCCCACAACTTAAGCCAGCTGCAACAACATGGAGGCGGAAACTTGCGCCTGTCCCTTTAAGGGGGCGGGTTCTCCCTGCAGCTGCTCGCCACGGTAAATTCTGCTCACATCTAGTAGCAGACAGACAGCTTTAGCGAGGTTCACTCTAGTGACACCCCCCCCCACCACACACACACACACACACACACACACACACACAGTGGGGGAATTGTCTGTTAGGGGCTTGGCAGATGTCCCATGCTGCACAGCTGCACCGTGTCAGTACACACACACACACACATTTACCACACACTAGCTGTGGTGGCGTCACGCTGAGTGACGGCGTTGTCACCCGCCTCTCTCTGGCTTTTCAATGAGGCGTCGTACCTCTTTCATTGGCTCATCAGGCCGGCCCAACATGTGATGTCACCCTGTGTTCCTACCTGGGATTAGCACAGCGTTAGCTGCGAAGGTGCTTTAGCCTCTTGTTATTAAGACCTGGAGCAACAACGCGCGGTGGCCGACCTTTGACCCAGAGGCCAGGCCATGAGGTCCAGTCAGGGGGGTGTCGTGGTGCGTCAGACGCACATGACCCCCCCCCCTCCACCCCCCCGACCAGGGTCACATGACCTGCTTTGGGCCTGCTGCCGGCGTGCTAAACCGCAGCTGCTGTATTCTGTTGTTTATTTTAACACTTTGTAGGCAGTAATTATTTAGTCCTCGTCTAATCATTGAATGAAAAGCAAAGTTGTTTACCGGCGGGGTCGCGCTGGGGTCTCTTTTAAGAAAAACAAATCTGTCTGAGTATCTAATTAAATGAAGGTCAGATCAAATAAAGTCCGACGAGGCGGACAGGATATTATAAATTCCATCCGCACTCTCTCTGTAACGTGTCCCTAGTTTTAATTGAGGGGACGGGGAGGGGTAAGGGGGGCTAACTCAGTTAGCCGCAGTCGATTTCTCCCCCTCTTTGCAGAGAACACACGGTCTCGCCTTTCGTGGCATTATCGCGTACGACGTCTTAAAGTGGCTGCAAAGCGAAGCAGCAACCACAGAGGAAATGTGGACGAGTGACAGCGAGGAGTAATCACAGATCCCTGACGGAGGGAGGAATGCTGCCGTCTAGACCTCTCTCTCCCCCTCTCTCTCTCCCCCCTTCCCTTTCTACCTCTCCCATCTTTCCTACTCTGCTCCGCGGTGCCCCCTGTCTGTTGTCATGGCAACTGCTCTCAACAGAGCAGAGGAGGCGCGTGATGATGGTGACGACGATCATTAATCTCGGTGATTTTCTGCAGTCAGGCTCCACCGCGGTCACGTGTGCTCAGCTGATCGGTGTGGTGAAAGGTCGTGGTGGTGGGCGTACCCGGCACCAGGGCTTCATTTATAGGCAGAGTGAACTGAAATCAGACCCAAGTGAGGCCGGCGTTCAATTCTTGCTTAACGCCGTTTAAATAAACATTAGAATCCACCAATTTACTTAATGCACATTTTCAAGCGGTATTATCAGCCTAAAGAGACTCGATCTTCAGGCTGAGTTTAAGCTGCAGGGATTTTTGCTCAAATCTGTAAAAGAAGAGAAGACTCGTTCTCGGATTGAAGGAATTATTATTTAACCACAATTCATACAAGTGAAGTGCAATAAAAACCGCAGACTCAAATGTGACATGTTCAATGTGTCGTACTGGAGCTCAGCTGCTTGCCGCCATTGTTAAGAACCGACCGACGGCCCCTGAAGGTGTCCCTGAAGGTGTCCCTGAAGGTGTCCCTGAAGGTGTCCCTGAGTGACCTCCCTGTAGTGGGAGGTGCACAGTAATGCAGTAATGTTGGGGGGGCTCGACTGGGAAGGTTTGGGGGGGGGGGCGACTCGGCCTGCGAGCCACCTCGAGTCAGTCTCTCTCTCTCTCTGCCTCTCTGATCGATCCGGATGTGATCGATCTCCCCCCTCCTCCCACGCACACGCACACCCTGTGTGCACACCTGCAGCAGCAACAGCGTCGTCTGTGCAGCGCGCGTCACCCCTGACGGGAGGTGAGGAGCGTTTGTGTAGAGTCTGTAGAGTCATGGGTGTGTCTCAGATGTAGGTGGGTGTCATCTGCTCACTGCAGGGTGGTTTGGGACGTGTGTGTGTGTCTGTGTGTATGTTTGTGTGTATGTTTGTGTGAGAGCGGTAAACGGCGCTTACCTGAAATAGTTTCACATTTCATGCAGACGGCAGAACCGCAGAGCTTGTTTTGTGGTTTGGGACCTGTGTGTGTGTGTGTTTGTGCGTGCGCACCTGTCACCTGTGAACAAACAAGCCCGAGCTTTCCTCCTCATTAGGCGTCCTCAGCACCTCCACCAAGAGGTACAGCCCCCCCGCGGAGACGACACACACACACACACACACACACACCACTCGCACACATGCTGACAGCAAAGAAAGCAATTAAATACCTGCTGCACAGCTCACACCCCCGTGTGTGTGTGTGCACGCCCCCCCACACACACACCTTGCTAAGTTCATTCTGACCAGTCCACTTGGTTCCCCCCTGATGTCCCATTAAGACGCTCAAACATTCAAACCCGCGTCTGGCAGCTGCTCTTGGCGGCCTTTATCCTGCACTCCGGCTGTCACTCAGGCGCTGGTTTCGGCAGCGAGGGGGCCGGCTCTTCTGAACTGTCGGGTCGAAACGTGATTGACCGTTGAAAACCTGTCCTGCGTGTCCCCCTCTCCTCTCTCTGCAGTGACAGACTTCAACAATGGCCTGGAGGCCAGTTCGGACTCGGATGACGAGGACAAGCTACACATCGTGGAGGAGGACAGCCTGCAGGAGCCCGAGGCCGCCGCCGCCGCCGCCGCCGCCGGGGCCAAAGCGAAGACAACAACGACGACGACGACGTCGACAGTATTACCGCAGTGTAACGGCTCAGTGAACGGAGGTGAGACCCCCGTCAGAGACGGTTCTATGTAATGTTCCCCTCCCGCTGGACTCTGGAGATGTCGGTGGTATCTGTTGATGGTTGAGGGTCTTTGGTCCCCCACATGCCACATTAATGAGAGAGTCAGGCGTTTTTCGGGAGCGATGAGTAATTTGCTCCGAGAGCACTTGAGCAGACGAGAGCATCGGAATGAGGGGCAGACGCAGACGGAGGAGCCAGCGAAGAGGAAGCTGGGCCGAGCGAGCGCGTCTGAGAAAGAAGACACGCTTGAATAATCCATAATCGGGCCGGCGCGCAGACGTAGCTCATCCGCGGCAAAGCCACGCGCGTCAGCCTGGCGCTCCCCTCCGGGCCTTCACAGCGCTGACGGGCACTCGTAGAACCTTCCCTTCCTCTGTTTGTTATATGAAATACATGCAGACAGATCCCGAAGATGAATATAAAAGAAACAATTACAGTAAAAAGAAGAAAGAGGATGTAATAGAACTGCGTGTCACAGAACTGACTGTGAAGCTCGTACGGCGCTTCCCTCCACATCACAAAGGAAGAGCCGCGTCGTCGTGTTATCTGGGTCAACTGCCTGCGCAGTTTGGGGTCGTTTTGCCGTGACGGCGCGACAGCAAACGCGAGCGATGACTGCGCGAGGAGAGTCAGAGGGCCGGTGATCAGCAGGAGGAACCAACTGCTCCGTTTGGCCTTTTCTGCTCAATCGATGGAACGTTGTTGGCTGCACGTTTCGCGCCAGCAGCGTTATTTACGTAAATTTTTCCCCAACACTCTGGAAACACCTGGAGTGAGGGAGGTACCTGCGTGGATTATTTGATCAGACCGGCTCAGCCAGCCAGATGTTCTGCCCCCCCCCTCCCCAATCGGGTCCCGTCTCTGCTCCCAGATGCTGTGGCTCGGTTCAACATGAATGACTCAGGTTTTCCCCCCAAAACGTTCCCTGTGTGAGGTATTGAATTAATGTCTTTCCACATATTCAGAATGAATATATGATTAGAATTGATTGTGTTTTTTCCTGCATAAGTGGGGAAAATGCATCTTATTACTACATCTTTTCAGTGCAACTAACCATTCGTAATTGTCAGGGAGCTGCATGGCGGGGAAGGTAGGACTCAGACGCAGAGTTTTCAAAAAGAAAAGGGACTTTAATTGTCAAAAAGGTTTTCAAAAGCAAAAAACGAAGACAGGAACCAGGAACGAGAACAAGATCGTGGACGTGGACTAGGACTTCCATACAATGAACAATGACGCGACAAGAGACAACAGACACACGTGGCTTAAATACACGAGGGAGGTGCAGGTGATTGGACACGGGGGGAAACAATCATGACATGACAGACAATCACAGCGGACGACAGGACAAGGCAGGAAGTGACGTGACCCAGGGAGAACAGAGGAAGGAAACTACAAAATAAAACCAGACATTAACCCAAACCGTGACAGTAATGGTGACTAAATTACAACAACAGTTATTCTTATTCCCGGTATGTCGGCCCGATAACTTCCCCCCCCGACGTGAAATCACGGAGATATTTCGTCTCACAAGCATTTCGTCTCAGCAGGAAGCACAGACGGAGAAACTTTCCCTTTTCTAAACTCAAACTCTTCAATGGTGAACAAAGAGATGAGCCGCCTCGCGGGATCGGCCCATTAGCCACGGGAGCGCGACGCGCCTCAGAACGCCGACCGAGCATCAGAAATGCCGCCGCCGCCTTTTTAACGAGCGTCGGCGGGGCTTGATTGGCTGCTGTCTTAATCCTCCGCGCCTACGCGAGCATCCGCCTTCATCTCCGCGGCAGGCGGCTGCAGCCGAGCAGCAAACACCGGAGCCCAGGAGACGGGCGGGAATGTGACACTCAGAGAGATTCTGCAGGCTCATTGTTTCTGAATAAAGCCTTACATGGAGAGAGGCTCTCTCTCCCCCTCTCCCCCCCTCTCTCCCCCTCTCTAGCTGCAGACATTGTGTGAAGGCCTCTCGGTGTTTGAAGTGATGGGTGGCGCTCCGGCTTCTGTTAATTATCCTCACAGGCGTCTGCCGAGCTCGTTGTTGTTTCGCCGCACCTCAACTTAAGTTTTCTGCGTGGAAAAGGTGACGTTGGGGACTGAATTCCTGAACGTGGTGGTCAGAACGAGGGGGTTCAGGGGTCACGCCGCCCGCCGGCTCCTCTCAGGGAAGCAGAGCCCCCCCGAATCGCTCTGCTGGAGGAACCGGACATTTCCATTCGTCCTCCCCCACACATGTGTGTGTGGGGGGGGGTTGAACGGTTTTGAACACATTTTGGTGGTGAAGATTTGCTGCTTTTCTTTGTGTGATGCACACGTCTGATCGGGGTCAGCACTCGCGTCAGCGTCGTACAACTAGTGACTAGTCCACAGGGTCCTTTCTACCACACAAGGAGAAGGGTCCCCATCAGTTTTGTGATCGGCTTTTAAAAGATGCAATTACAGACAACATGTAAGTCCTCCAAACTTTGTCCTCTCAAGACTCTTTCAGGAGAAGAATACGTGTCCGGATTCAGCAGACTACAAAAACTCAAAACCATCAAAGCTGCTGCCGCTGCTGTGGAGCTAAAAGGAAGAGAAAGGGAGGAAGCAGGGAAACAGGAAGAGGAGGGGAGAGATTAGTCAAGGGGGGGGAGACAAAGGACGAGCTAATAGGAGAGAGAGAGGGACGAGTCAAAGGAGGAAGGAGCTCGATGAGTTCGACGCGTTTGCCTCCGAAGGGGAAAAAGAGATGTGGAAATCTTTTGGATGAGGTCATGAGAAGCTGAGACCTGTGCGTTTAAAATGAGGCTCAGCAGGCGGCTGTTCTCTGCTTTATGAACACACACACACACACAGACTCACACACACACACACACACACACACACACACACAACCAAGCCAACCAGATTTAATGTCTTGAATCTGGAGACCTCTGGCACATAAAATGCAGTTGCTAAGAGAGAGGATTGTGTTAGTGTGTTCTCCGGACGCACACCTGTCCCTGACGAGGCGCAGCGGAAAGAGGCGTGGCCTTTGGCTCCCGTCCCACCTGTTGCTGTTAAATTGCCTCGTCCCCATGGCAACGCTGGACCCAGTTCTCGCCTCTTATCGCCGTTTTTAGACACAGGAACCTGCCGTGTGCTTTACCGCTGTCGTTAGAAAATGATTATACGACGCAACGCCGGATCGTCGCCATGGCGACAGACACCTTTAAACGTTGGCGGGTGGCTTGTGGAGTGAAAGAGGACATCGGAGTGGTGCGTTGTGGGAGATGTAGGACGCCGTGCGCATGATCTGCGACTGTCAGCATGACCCCTGACACAGAAACACGTGTGTACGTGATCACGCTGTCCGTGTATCTTTTATTGATCCGCGTGGTCTTTATATCATAGCGCACATCTACCTCACTACTCGTGTCCATAGCGCTTCTGTCTTCTTCTTGAGGAACTTCCTCGTTGACGTCTCCTTCCACGTCCGGAGGATGCCGCTTGAGACTGAAAGTCTAGATACCTTCGATTGTGGCCATTGTTTATTGTTTATCCAGCAGCACTCTCACATCAACCCTTTACCAGCTCTCCACTATTGTCCGACGTGCAACCTGAAAGTTGATCTCGCAGTTGATCCCGTAAGTGCTCACAGATGGACGGAGGAAATAAGAGACAGCTTGAGAATGCTTTACGGTCATCATATCACTGACGAAAGACGGTCCTCTTTCTTTTCCCCGTAATCACCCGAGTATCGCTGTAACGCCACAGCGGGCAAATTCCAGCCTTCATGTCCAACTTGTTGCCTCAGACATTCAGCTGTTGGGCGAAGTGCCGGAGGGAGGACAGATGGACAACAGCGTCCCACAGCTCCTGGCTACCAACATTTCTGTATTATTTATCCCAGCCATGAATTCAGTCCGAAGACATTATTTATCATAGTCCTTTTGCACAAAGGTCGTATTTCTCCCGTGTTTCCTGTTTAAAAAGAGTTTCCTCACCTCTCTGCCGTGGTTTGGCCGCTTCTCGAGGACGCCACGTGTTCTCGCTTTAAGATTTTCCCTCACAGCTCCCCGATGACACGAAGCTGACTTCTGTTCCTTAAAATAAATCAATAGTGTTGCCGGCGGGATTTTATTCTCATGAGCTTATTTACCATCAGGACATGGAGCTTTATTAAAAAAGGTTCTTCGTGGGGATAGAAAAGGGAATCCTGTGGCGCTCTCTAGTGGGACTACTGCGACACTACGTGCCACGATTCAGCCGCCACAGCGTGACGATACTTCTCCACTGCTGGTTGGATGAGTCCTCTTCGTCCCGCTTTCGTCCTCTTCTCAAACCGTTTTGTGTGTTTTCAGTGAAGGAGGAGTACGTGTCCGAAGCGGAAGAGGAGCCGGAGGAGGGCACTCTGGCGTACGAGATCCTCCAGCACCGAGGCACGGCCGTCATCTACCCTCTCGCCCCGCAGGACGAGCAGAGTCCAGCGGAGACGGGGGGCGCCGACGAAAACGGTAACCGTACGCGCACACCGACACCGCTCGCTCCCTTTTTCTCGGCTTTCCCGGAGCCGCTTGGTTAAGCGCCACGCGCCGCGTTCCTCTCCACCCGCAGGCACCCCGGACTCCTTCCCCCAGTTGCACACTTGCCCCTACTGCTCCCGGGGCTACAAGCGCAACGCCTCGCTGAAGGAGCACATCAAGTACCGCCACGAGACCAGCGACGACAACTACAGCTGCGCGCACTGCAGCTACACCTTCACCTACCGCTCGCAGCTGGAGAGGCACATGAGCCACCACAGGGGCACCAGGGACCAGGTAACGCCGGTCGGACCTGACGCGTTAAAGGATGTGTACAGCTTTGACTTTACGTGTCACAATATGGCTTTTTAATTCAGAGTACGTTCTACTCGTGTGTTGTTGTTTTTTTCTCCAAGCGAGTATAATTAAGAAGGTCAAAGCATTCCACTTGAATACCGAACAGCTCGGGTTAGCAATGAAAAGAAAGGAAAATTCGGACTTTCACGGACACACTTTGCTCCTCGTCGACTGTTTCTTCTTGTGTCTCAGCGGCACGTGTCCCAGTCGACAGGTGGATCGGGAGGAACGGGCGGGATCCGCAAGTTCAAGTGCACCGAGTGTTGCAAGGCCTTCAAGTACAAGCACCACCTGAAGGAGCACCTGCGCATTCACAGCGGTGAGCTGTCGCCGTGACAACGGCCATTCTCACTCGCACCAGCACTGTTTGAACCGGCGTTTATTACTTTATTAAAACTACATGTCTGTAATCAGGGTGGATATAAGTTCATCAAAGCTCTTTTATCCGGATTTAATCATTGGATGGTGTGTTTCCTTTTATTCAGGTCAAATTATCTGCATGAACATATCAAAATGATAATAAAACGTGGCAAATTCCGTCTAAAATTGTCCAAATGTGATTTAAAATCAGAAACCTTTTAGTAACAGATATTATTATTATATATACAGTTATTTCAAATTTGAATAATACAAATAGGAAATAAATAAGCTAAGTTCATATATTGTTTTAACAGTTTCTGTAATTTCCCTGTGTGCTCCCCAGGTGAGAAACCGTACGAATGCTCCCACTGCAAGAAGCGCTTCTCCCACTCGGGCTCCTACAGCTCCCACATCAGCAGCACCAAGTGTTTGGGCGCCGCCGCCCCCGACGACGTCCCTCGAACGGCCATCAAACCCCCGCCGCCCACCGCCCAGGCAGCACCGGCTACAACCGCGGCGCCCCGCGTGCTTCTTAAAGAGAAGGCCGAAAGCAAGCCCCTCCAGGAGCAGCTCCCCGTCACCCAGATCAAGTCCGAACCGGTGGAATACGAGTGCAAGCCCGCGATCGCCGCGTCGGCGACTCCCGCCGGCGGGGCCAACGGGGGCGGGGCGGCACAGCCGGCCGCGGCTCCGGCCACGACCCCCGCGCAGGGTGTGGCCATGGTGGTCCCGACGGTCGGCCTCATGTCGCCCATCAGCATCAACCTGAGCGACCTGCAGAACGTGCTGAAGGTGGCGATGGACGGGAACGTGCTGCGGCAGGTGCTGGGCTCGGCCAACGGCGTGGTGACGCAGGGGAAGCAGGGGATCGTGGTGCAGCAGCCGCAGCAGCAGATCATCAGCCTGCCGGCCTTTGTGGACCACGACGGCACCACGAAGATCATCATCAACTACAGCATCGGCCCCGCGGCCGCCACCGCCGCCACCACCCTGACCGCCGCGCTCGTCGCCAAGACCAACCCCGCCCCCGTGCCCGCCGCCCCCACGCCCACCAAGACGGTCAAGCCCTCCGCCCCGGAGGCGGCCGACCTCTCGGCCGTGAAGGCGGAGCCAGAGTCGGTGGCCATCGGCGACGCGGAGACGGGAAGGACCCAAAAGGCCCGGCTGCCTAAAGCCAACAGCTCCAGTACCTGCGTGCTGTGCGACGACTGTCCCGACAACCTGGAGGCGCTGCACCTCCTGCAGCACCGCAAGGCCGCCAACGGGGAGGCCGTCGACTCGGCCGCTCTGGACCCGTCCTTCGCCGCGCTGCTCAGCGAGGCGGGGGTGACACTGGAGGAGCCGCCCGTGGACGACCTGCTCACGCTCCTCAAGTCCTACTTCGCCTCCAACGCCAACCCCGGCGAGGCGGAGCTGGCAAAGATCTCGGAGTCGGCCAGCATCCACGTGGACGTGGTCAGGAAGTGGTTCGCGAAGATGAACTCCGGGAGCAAGGCGGGGAAACGCCGCGAAAAAGACACGGCGGTTTCAGAGACGGCGGAGGCCACGAAATGCAGCTCGCAGGACGCCGCGGATCGGAACGGGCCGGCAGAGGAAAACGGCTCCCACAACGACAAAGCCTCCTCGGATTCGGGCGGCGGTTCCACGGCGGACTCCTCGCCACGGAGCCTCAGCGCCGGGGACCTCGTCATCATCAAGAGCGAACCGGAAGACCCCGAGTCTGCGGACTCTCAGGCCGAGCCCCTCGACCTCTCCCTCCCGAAGCACACCGCGGCGGCGGAGACGGCCGCGCCGCCCCCCAAGCAGCAGGAGCAGCCGCTCAACCTGACCTGCCTGAGGAAGGAGCAGCTGGGGGGTCGAACCATCTACGTCACCACGCCCCAGACCGGGAGGTCCGTCAGAATCATCACCGCCGCGCAGCTGCCCACGTTAGTGGCCATCGCCGGTCAGGGCACCTTGAGCTGTCTCAACACCACGGCGAAACGCACCATCCTCATCCCCCAGCTCACCTACAGCTACGCCAGCACGGCCGGCGGCGCCACCGGAGCAAAGACCGTCGTGCTGAACGGCCACAAGGTAAGCTCATGTCTGCTCCGCTGCACCGCGGCGGCCGCCGCGGCATTTCAACATTCACGGTTCAAACGGGGAATCCCTGACGTCGCCTTCGTCTTCTTCCAGTTGCAGCAGGAGAAGAAGTCGGACAGCAGCTCTAACGGCGGCTCACCGACGGAGGACCAGAACGACTCGGACTCGGCGTCGCTGACGAAGAAGCGGCGGCTAGAAAACGGCGTCTACCCGTGTGACCTTTGCTTCAAAGTCTTCCAGAAGGGCAGCTCTCTGCTGCGGCACAAATACGAACACACAGGTAGGCCTCACACCTGAGAGGTGGTCTCTCCCACGTGAGAAGACGTTCGGGCTCTGACCAGGCAGCTATTTGAGACTATTGTTTATTATCATTAATGTGTTATAATTATTACAATGGTAACTTTTACGGGACAGCTGGCCTGTAAATGCACCAGCTCAGAGGTCGACATCAGTTTTCATTGAGACGAGACTCTTGAGGTGCATAAACAGGCAGCGTCCGTCATACGGATGCATTATTACTTTTTAAAGATCGACCGGTGCTTTAAATTTGAGATTTAATCAAAAGTTAATTACGCACCGATTTTAGATTATATGCAAAATGATTCCAAAAAAGCTTGAAAATATAATATCAAAGCAGGTGGCGAGAATGTTTGACGACCCACAAAGACCAACAATATTTAATGTATGACCCCTTTGTGGGGTCCCTAGGTTGAAACACACACATCACTGTAATTTGTTATCTAATTATGCATCGTCTGATTCTCTCGCCTGCAGGAAAACGGCCCCACGAGTGCAACGTCTGCATGAAGGCCTTCAAACACAAACACCACCTGATCGAGCACTCCAGGCTGCACTCCGGGGAGAAACCCTACCAGTGCGACAAGTGCGGGAAGCGCTTCTCCCACTCGGGCTCCTACTCCCAGCACATGAACCACCGCTACTCGTACTGCAAGAAGGACGGACCGAGCTCCGGCTCCGGCTCGGCGCCCCGCGAGGCCCAGTCCGAGCTCGGCAGCCCCGGTGCCGGACTACAGTCGGACAGTCGGACCACGACGCCGCCCTCCCAACTGGACTCTGACGAGAGGGAGAGCGAGGAAGAGGAGCAGGACGAGGACGACGAGGCCATGTGCATGGACGACATCCGGGTGGTGCAGGTGGACGACGGCGACTGCGAGATCTACGAGGGCAACTTCGAGGATGAGGAGGAGGAGGAGGAGGAGGAGGGGGAGGAGGGGGAGGAGATCGCGGAGGAAGACGCAACAGGGGAAGATCACGCAGAGGTGGAGGAAGTTGTGGAGGAAGACGAGACTGGTGAGGACGAGGCAGAGGAATTTGCGGAGGAAGATGCGGCAGGAGAGGAAGAGGAGAATGTGGAGGAAGGCGCGACACGAGAGGAAGAGGGGGAGGATGTCGTGGAGGAAGACGCGGCAGGAGAGGAAGAGGAGATCATGGAGGAAGACGCGCCCGGAGAGGAAGAGGAGATCATGGAGGAAGACGCGGCCGGAGAGGAAGAGGAGATCATGGAGGAAGACGCGGCAGGAGGGAAAGAGGAGATGATGGAGGAAGACGCGGCAGGAGGGGAAGAGGCGAATGAGGTCATGGAGGAAGACGCCAAAGGTGAAGAGGAGGCCGAGGCAGAGGAGGTGGTGTCCGAGGGGGTCGCGTGTGACGTCCCGCGGGTGGAGGTCGGGGACGATCGCAAGCAAGAGATGGAAGCGACAACTGGAGAGAAGAAGGAAGCGGCGGGCGCGGAGGAAACGCCAGACTGTGAAGCAAACACGGACAAAAGCGGCGCGGAGGAGTCAGCGGGCGCCGAAGCCACAGAGGAAGTGGCGACAGGCGGCGAATGAAGGATTGGGAAATCTCCCGGTTGATGAACCGGAGTGAATAAAGACAAAGCCGCAGACGGGTCGAGGAGTCCCGGTGGTTGCCTGATCTTTACGGTCCACTACTGTGTACAAACACCCAGGTGTGCCTGAACTCGACAAAGAGAAAAACAGAATTTTTTCCTTTTTTTTTCTTGTGGAGATAAAATATCAGTGTTAAAAATTGTTTATAGAAGTACAGATTTTAAAGCAGGACCCCCCCCCCAGTCGACCTGCTGAGCCGTCAGCGGCTCCTTTTCCTCTTTTCAGTTTTGTCAGTGTTACTAATCTTGTTTTATTGTTTGAAAAACGTTTTAATGTGTAAAGATGAGAAGAATTTCTATACCTTTTTATCGCCAATGAAGTTTCCTATATCAGTATTTTATTGAGTTCTACGAACAACAACCTCTGCACTACAGTATTCCTGGTTTACCGGCGGATACGCGCCTCACGCATCCTACGCCGCTCAGTGTTACGCGCTCGCTAGCTAGCTAGCGACAAGTCCGCGCCAGTGTTGGTCTTTGCTAGCTAGCATTGCTTTGGTTTTTCAGTTTGACTTTTAGCCTTAAAGAAATCGAAGTATTCTTGGGGGGGCTTTGGAGGGAGCGGGGGGGGAGGCGGGGTTGTGGGCGGGGTTGTGGGCGGGGCGTGAAGCTGCCTCCTGTGCAACCAAACATGTCCTTTCAGGGATGATCTCGCCGGAGCTTCTTCTTCTTCTTCTTTTGGTTCCCAGCCGGTGTTTCGGTGTCAGCTTGTGCCCCCCCTCACCCTCCCCGCCCCCCAATCCTCTCCCCCCCCTCACCAATGCCTCCAGCCTTATGCAAGACCTGTGTGCTGTTAAAAGTGCCATTGAACAGTGTTATGGTTTCCTCTCCACACACGTAGCCCCGTTACGTCCCTCTGGTGCCCACGTTGACTTCTTGCCACGATTGCGAGAAGAAGCTTCCTGCTGTGAGAAGGCCGCCAGCTCATCAGCAGAGCAACCAACCATCAACCGACTGATGGGTGAGATGTGTTGAGAGATGAATATGTATTTTGATGCGGAGGAGTTGTTGCCAGTTACTGCGGAAGTTCAGTTGAAAGCGGCGCGATTGCGCGAAGCGAAATGAAATGTACACGTACAACGCGACACGATCAGCTTCCTGCGGACGTTCAAACACTTCTTCTTTTTTTTTTTTTACTGCAAGTTAATGTGTTTTTAAGTCATGAGTTGTAAAAATGTTTACACCAGAGCTTAAAGAAAAAAAGAAAATGTTCTGTTAAAGCAGACGGGAGTATTCAAAGCTAAAAACACGCAGGGAATGTGATCCGGCTCTCTGGAAGAAATCTGAAGAATGCGACGTAAAGATTTGAAATTTTGCCAAACTTGTGCACTTGTTCTCAGAGGAGAAAACAAAAAGAGGATTAGTGGCTTCAGGTAACAAACGTTAGTGAACGTGCTCTCTTTTACCAAACAGTGTTTATGATATTAGTTTGTGGCATCGTGTTTTTTTGTTTGTTTCTTTCCAACATGGCAGTATTAGAACCCTTTCACAGATAAACAAAATGTACCTGTTTAGTTTAGAAGACTTTTTTATATTTATGTGTCTTATTTTTATATTTTCTTTTATGGTTATTTATTACACATTGTAGTGTACATTACTGTAGTTTGAATTGATACGATAATATATTTTAGTATGAAAAATAATCTCAAGGCAAACAAAAAGAAAAAAAAAAAAACCCAAAATGTGGTTCTGGGAGTTTGTTTTAACAAAAAAAAAAAGTGTTCTGTAAACATGACTTCTGTTTTAAGCTTAAAAGAAATCTGAAAAACGACAGGAATGAAGCGAGGAATAGAAACTGTTACGTTATGTTATGGAGCTACAGAATCCACAAACTCCATTTTGCAAAAGCTCACGTCGTCGTTTTAATGAAGGATCTGGATACGAAGCCTCCCTTTTTATTCCCGAGCCAAACCGAGGTCGTCCCGCCGCCCGTTTTCTGTTCCGTGCCAACTTGTTCCATCGTACCGCCGAAGGCCGCATAGCGTTTGTTCTGTCCTCCTCTGTAAATCCACTGTCTTTTTCTATTGTTTGTGTTCCATTTTTATGACTCCATCACAATAAAATATAAGACAGCACGTCTGCGCTGCTGGTCCTGCTTCTCTGCCTCCTCCTGCACATAATACAATAACACACACGTTCCTTGAACAGGACATGTTTGGTGAAAGTGTTGATAAAATAAGATAATAAAAATAAGCAGTGGCATAGAGCTCTGAATAAGTTTATTAAAGACTTGTATATTTATATGAAATAATAAAATGAAAATTCTGAGCAAAATACTGTTTTCTATTCCTAAACTTTGATTCTTGGTCGTAGGTCTCACTGAAGGGAAATTGTTTCTGAAAGGTTCCATAAAAATAAAGTTTTGATGAAATGGCATCGTAACTTTATAAATCTTTTTTTAAACGGCTGCTGTACTCAGGTCTCGATCTCAGTAAGACGAATCAATAAAGTTATGAAGCTGAAGGAGACGCTTCCTCCTTAAGCAGCAAAATGAAGCTCCATCACCAGGTGGTGCTACAAGACCACCGAACACCTTTACCAGAACCAGAAAGAACCAAAGTCTGTATTAATATGAAACACCTTTAGAATTAGAGTGTGTGTGTCTCAGAATGTTTTATCCTTTAACACCTTTTTAGTAACGTTTGACATTATGTGTGATTTATGAGAATCTGTGACATAATATTTTCTCTGGTTATATATATGGTCTGGTTATTATTGTGCATAATTTTTGTTTTTATTTTTACACGGACTAAAACAAAATACAGAGCAGCTGGTTGGTCGATGTTTCCAACTGGTAAGAACCAGTTCTTACTAAGAGGTTTGTTCTACGATGCCGATGCAAACTAACTATGTGATCATAAAAGGACAGAAGTGAGCAGACTCGGATCCTCAGGATTTGAATCAACTTCCCCTCAATTTAAAGTTGCGTGAACTTTGTCCTGCTTCAGAAGTCGTCTTACTTGGTCCCGATGCCTTAATGTGACCCACATTAGTCCGCCAGAGACCGTCAGCAGTGCCGACGGGTCCAATTCTATAACCATAACTGACCAAGTGAAGTAGGTTAATCATTAATAAACTGTCCAGCCCCTCGTGGACGGATTTCCCTTCATGCACGTGGATAATGAGCTCGTTTTAACACCGCAACACATTCAGTATGTTTCAGTCTTTTCAGGAATGCTGTCGTTTATAAAACAGCTGCATGTGAAACAGTGGGGGAAGGGAGGTTAAATATTCTGCTAAAAGCAAATTATCAGACCACCAGGAAGGAAACAGCCAGTGTTACTTACTTACTTCACATAAGAAGTAAAAGGACCATTTTGCATTTCAAGGAACAAAAATTGTGGCTAATTGTTGCAACACGTTCTTCATCAAAAACCACTCGGAGTCAGTGGATGTGTAGAACACTAACGACGGCCCCCACCAGAAAACAACAAAGGAGTTCAAAATGTTTCTGCCAATATGTGATTCAGAATCCCTGTTTGATACATTTATAACATTTACTCAATGAGTTTGTTTCTGTATTATTCTTCATTCTTGGTCGTATCTCTTCCACTATTCCTCAGGATCAACATGCAAAAAATAAATCAACTTTAAATAAGAAAGAATCGTATCAGCATTAACGTTCAACAGTTCGGCTCTGAGCGTCTCTGCTGATTCATATTAGACAACGGGGAGTAAGACTGGCAGAGGCTGGACGGGCGATTACCCATGAGCCCCGTGGGGCCCGGCGTCCTCGGGCCTGAGGGGTCGGCCGGGTCGACGCGGTAACGAGCGTTGTGCCGGCAGGGGGAGGAGGAGGGGGGGGGGGGTGGGGGGGGGGCCGCCCTCCCGGCCAAATGAGAAATACTGACCCTTCACACTGATTAATGGCTGATTAGTGAATCCACACATCACGTGTGATGATTTATGATTAAACGGTTTGCTGCTTTGTAGTACAAGTAATGTAGTGATAGATTTATTCAAAACAACAGTTCATTTATAGATTTTTTTAACAACCATGATTAGCATTTATTTGTTTTAAATACAAAAATATAGCATAATTATTGGAGAATAATTATTACAGCAACAACAACATTTACATTCACTTTACTTTTAAACCGGTTGATCAGAGGAGGGTTTCCAAAATGAACTCAGTGTTTTTCTTGCGTTTTAAAGCTTCATCAAGAGGAACATCCCTTTTGTCCCGCAAATCATCATCATCATCATCCTCGTCATCATCGTTCAGGTCAACCGATGAACACAAACATCATTTCCAGCACCCTGCGTTGATGAATAAAAACCCCTCGTGTCCGAAGAGGCTCTTCTTTCATGGATTCATCTTTCTATCGGCCTCCAGTCTAAAGGACTTCTTCTTCTTCTTCTTCTTCTTCTTTAATATTTGTTGCTTTGTCCGGCGGAGGATCATCAACTCTCAATACGTCGACAGCTCTCTCACACGGCGCGTTAATGGAGTCTTCTGTCGCTTTACAAGCAGCGACCTTCGTCACATCAGCTGAAGACTTTAAACATCCAACAGGCAACAAAGCGCCACTGCGGAGTTTGGGGGAAGCCATTTTGTTTTTTGGGTGGGGGGGACCGGTCCAACGGCCCCCGCCGTTTTCCGCCAGATCCGGGCGACAGTCAAAGGCACTGAATGTTGAAACATCTCCACAGGCGCCCACATTACAAACGCTGGGTGTGCTGGATGACTACCTGCAGCCCGACATCGGGGACGCAAAGCGTCTTCTGTCCAGCCGAGCCGCCGCGGCGAGACACGCAGGGCCACGCGTGGACGCGGCGTACAAATGAGAAGAGATCCTCGTTTTCTCCACCAACAAATCGCCCACAGACATCACTGTGAGTCCATTGAAGACGCAGAGCGGACATCGCCCGCGGAGCGGAGGTTTACCTGTTTCGACGCAGAGGTCCCACTGTTGATGTCTTTTGAGGGTCTCGATCGCTTGACGGCACGACGGATACAAGATGTAACGTAGTCGCGATGCTGGAAATCCTTGTTTGGCGTTCCGGCCACGAAGCCCCTCACCTCTGACCCACCAATGACAAGAAAGTGGATTGATGGATCTGCAGGAAGCCCGGCAGCTTCCCAGAAGGCAACTCTGCTTCCACATCTCATCTCTGAAATGAGGGGAATAAGCTCATCCGAGTGTTTAAACGCTCAAAGAGGCCCCTGGACTAACGTCCTCTTCGTCGTGTGTGCGAGTTTCCCACTCCGGCGCTCCACTGAAAGAAATCAGAATCACATCTGGAAAAAACACTTTATTCTATTCAAACATTTTGTCTGTAACCAAACAACCAGAATCAAAAACCCGGTGGAGATTTATTTCTGCACCTCACTGACATCACTGTTATTCACCAACACTAGGAACCATCAAATAAGAGAGTCGTTTCATCTGTGACAGACGCTGGTCCTCGAGTACCAACGTGGATCCATGGAAAAACCCCTGTTTTCAACCACGATCCCGTCCAAAACACAGGTTAGGTTTTCCGGGGCGAAGCCACGACGCTCAGAGGAGAGTTGGAGGGGCGGGAGGATGAGAGCAAAGAACAAAGTTCAGTTCGAGCCACGAGAAGGTTAAAGGTCGCTTTCACGTGAGAAGAGGGGAAGTCAAGTCGGCTGCACTGAATCCCAAACTGCCGGTTATGCATGAGGATTTAGAAAAGGTCCCCTGCGCTGTATCAAAAGGGTCTATTATGGGATGCATTGTCTCAGAGGTCTTTGGATGGAATGTCCTAAACGTGGTGGTTGTTTTCACGTGATCTTTTCTAAACATCTTCTGGTTCAAGCTGTCTGATTGTAATTTCTATATCACTGATCATCATGAATGTATAAATGTTTCTCCAACACATCGATGGTCACCCACAACCGTAGCGATCTTAATGTCATTGAGCTGTTACAAAGTAACATTATCATCCGTTTGTGTCCCTCTTCATCAAACCCGCTTTCACATCGTTTCCTCATTGCTGTTTGATGTCACACTGATGTGTAGCTGTGATGTCTCAGCTGGTCAAAATGGGGATTTTTCATGAACATATTCGACTGCTGAATGTTTTTCCCACCAAAGAGTGATTTAAAAGGCAGGAGGGACGTTTGAACGAGGAATAAATGGGCTGAGGATGAATAGGTGTACAGGGGGAAGCGTGATGACCCCGCAGGTATGAAACTTTCTACGGACGCTGTCTTACCCGCACACCATAAACACACCGACACCTGCTTCATTTGCTTTCATTTCTGAATATCGTTACAAAGACATTAATTGCACACTTACTTTTTTTTTTTTTTTTTAACTTACAGTTGAAAACAGGACATCAACACCTCATAAGTTTGCACCGTTTGTTTCCAGTACGTTCACGACTCACAGCAAAGCATCAGCAGACTCAACCGTGCGATTTGTGTTTTTTTTTCGTCGCCTCGATTTGCTGCTGCGCCACCTCGGCCAGCCGAGTGTGTGAGGGCGCCGCGGCGTCCCAGGCGCGGCGTCCGCGCCGTGGCGTCCCAGGCGTGTTTCACGGGCTCGTCGCTCAGATGAAGTACTCCTTTGGGTTTTCGGTGGAGACGCTCCTTGAGTCCCTCTGGCTGGTGAAAGTGAAATCTCCGCTGTCCTCCCGTTTGACTCCCCCGGCTTCCTGGTTCCCGTGCGTCTCTCTCCGGCGGTACAGGAACCGGGCGGTTAGCGCCAGACCGCTGGCGATCAGGAAGATGGCCACCGCTATGACACCTGCGAGGAGGAGGACAGCCGACATGCAATGGGCTCAAATAAGAGGCCGCCTGGTGAAATGTACATGAACGCTTCAAACTGCTCCTGAATCGGCCCTATTTTACTTCCATACATACTCATTACATACGTTCTGGATTCTTACCAAACTTTCAACAACATTAAACTCAATTTTTGATCTTTTAAACTATCGAGCGCTTCAGGGTACATTTGGCACTGTGAGAAGAAGTTTCATTTAATTGGAATTCTAAAATCGATTTAAAACTTCATTATAAAGAGACGCTATTTTTTGTCTTCAAGATAACGGAAATAAGTTTTCCCATCAGCAAGCAGTTCCTGCTTCGGGGGTAATCAGGTGACCCGGCCTTCGTGCACTTAGACAGTCGGTGGGGGGAGGGGGGTTAACGGACACGGACGATTTCCTGTTTCTGGGCGTCGCCGTTTCTATCTGCACCATTTATAGATTGAAGCTTTTCAGTCTGTTTGACTCAATCTGTGAAAGCAAAGTTTGAAACGAGACCCCCCCCCCACCCCACCCCCTCCCATCCTGAACCTGCAGGATGGATTTTCTGCACAGAATCTAAGACGCAATAATCTCGCTGATCTTTTCCACTAATGTCGGTCGTGCAGAGACATCGGTGTTACATTCATGGCGTTTGAAGTTATTGCACGGAGCTGTGAACGAAAAACCAAAGGTTCAGTACCTCCAATCAGAGCCGAGCCGGTCCTGATGGACTTGACTAAAGGCTGACCTGAACCCACTGAACCAGACTGGTCTACAGCAGAGAAGACAAGAGGGCGGGAAAACATGAGCAAAAAAGACGAGGACAGAGCGGATGTCAAAGAGACAAAAATAAAAGAATTACAGAAAAGATGGAGGGAGGCCAAAGAATAAGTGAGTCAGAAAGGGAGAGACGGAAGAAAAACAAGATCAGATCGTCATCCTTCAGAGTAGACGGAAGCACATCTCCGGATTTATTAAAGCTGGAGGAGAATCCTAAAGGAATTAAAGTAGGAGACTATCTGAGATTTATGAGGCAAAAAAGCAGCATTAAATAGTGAATTGAAAAGATGCTGCTCCCTCTATCACAACCTGAGAGCAGAGGCACAGGAGCGGAGATGAAACATAAAACATCAGTCATATTATATTGTATTTAAAAGGGTTGGAGAGCCGTGTTTTGTGTGCATTCATACAAACAAACAAACTACGCGGCGGTAATGAAGGAACGCGTCACTTAGTGAAACAATGTGGACTTCATGACGGAGGAATAAGACCCACGAGTCAAACGTCTAAACGGGCGCGACGTGATTTTATTTCCCTTATAAATAATAATAAGTTTTGTCGTATAAATAGAAACTACTGAGTGAGTAAATTTAGTGTCTCCACCAACACATTTCTACTACAGAATAAACTCCACCCTGTGACTCCTCCCCTCCCACCTGACAGGTGGTGCGTGTCCTCCGCTGCGCGCGGATTGGCCGACGCCGAGGAGCCGCAGGTGGACTGGACCAGAGGTCCCGTGATGACGACGGGGCTGCTGTGCGGGTGGAGCAGAGCGGCTTTCAGAGGGCTGACGGAGTTAAAGCGAACCACCGAGAGACAGCCGGTAAAACCCAGAGACGCCAAGCGGGACAGCTCCGGGTCCACGTCCTCCGACCCTGGAGACACGAGACGCCACGAGACACAGACTAACTAATATGAAGCTATACGGGGACACATTTCAATATATTTTTTGTAAGCAGTACTTACAATACTAATAATTACAATGCAAGCAAATAAAGGATGTATACATTTTCCCTTTATCGATGCTTTGTAGGGATCACGACGGGTTTAAAACGTTAAAACGAGCTTCACAGAAGATTTCTCAGATAAATACTTTGATTGTGACTTCTAATACTTTTGGAAAGAAAATCTGAAGGCCAAATATATTTTGAATTGAACCGATTTCAATTAATGTTCCTGAATGCTGAAAGACATTAAAGTAGTAATTTGTCTTTATTCAATACAAACAAACGCTGGCTTGTTAAAGGGTCCAATCGGAATGTTCTGAGGTTGTTAAAGGACTTTGCTGATTGGCTGTTGAAGGGATTCAAATTCCACTAATAGAAACAGATACAATTAAACAAATAATGTTTTCTTGACGTCCAATGCGTAAGAAAATCAAATGAGCTACTTGAAAAAGAAATACTTTTATTTTAAGATGGTTACTTGTTATTACTTAAAGTGCTGATAGACAATTTAATAACTGGTTTGATTATGTGAGAAGGTGCAATCTTCTTTGGCGCATTATTTTAATGAATTAGACTTGTTGTTTTCTGTCATATAATCCGGTCCTGGATGGCTAGAAAATCAGGAGGCTGCCTGAGTGCAACACGAGGCTCCATCCAGCTTCTCTAACCTAAAAGGCCTCCACTCACGTGCACTCTCACTCACGTGCACTCTCACTCACCGTGCACTCTCACTCACCGTGCACTCTGCCCAACACCAGCGACTTGATGCCGTTTAACTCCCCATCGGACGTCAGGTTGAAGTCTTCTCTGGCATGTTGGTCAATCTGAAATGACCAACATTTGTTTTCTCATAAGAAGTTGGTAAAAGAGTTCAGTGGAATCGGCGTCATGCCTTGAGCATGAACTACTTCCTTTTACACGCGTGTGTCTGTCAAACTGGATAGAGTGAGATGGAGGGATGCTGCATACAGTCCTGTTTCATATATTGATATAAGGCAGGCATTCGGGCTTCGGGGGGTGGAGGGGGGTCATTGTTCCACCGCACATCTCACGGGAGAGAATATGAGACTGCGTGGAGACTTCGGGCTGCCGGCCATCCGGTCCCCCCGATGTCGCTAACGATGCGTTGATTCAAGGTGATGGAAAGTGGCGAAATGAGATGCAGGTCATTTTTCACCGGAGCCTCGGCGCACCGTGAATCAGGAGGCCGCTGCCCCGCGTGCCGTGGAGGGGGGGGGTGGGGGGTTCACCTTGTTCTTCGTCTCAGGGTGTTGAGAATTAAACGGAGATTCAATTCATGCTGCCGGATGGAAGAAGTTCGCCTCATTTATCATCCAAACCTGCTGTTAACAGGACAAGATATTTCATCTGAAGCTCTTCTAACGTGAGGCTTATTATCTCTGAGAGGAACGAGACTCCAGAGGGGGGGGGGGGGGGGGGCAGTTGGTTCACGACTTTCAACTGACTGTCATTGAACACATGTGACCTACCACCTGTCTCCGGTAGACTGTTAGTCCCAGTGTGGGGAAACTATCAAACTGTCCTTGTTCCCGCGGGAGGAGAAGGTCACCGAGCGATGGAGGTTCTACGTGAATGTGGAGACGCGTTACTGTGTTTGTTGGCGGCTGCGTGCGTTGTGTCACCTGCAGGGACACGCCGTCGGCCCGCCTCCTGACGGAGACGGCGTGGAGACGTCCGTCCGCCAGGCTCCTCGCGGCGCTCCTCAGCACCTCGGCGCCCCGGCGGCCGTCCAGCTTGTACCTCACCTCCAGCTTGTCTTCACACGCAAACGCACACAGCAACATTTCAAACTGGTTTTCGCTTTTAATGGACGTAGTTTTTACTTCTTCTCTTGAGTATATGAATAAATGAAGCTTTAGATATTGATGGATTACAACTTCACTCCCTTTCATAACACATCTCTAAATCTAAAACTAAACGCATTAATCATCAAAGGATTAAGTGCAAATTTACTGAAAACCTTGTGAGGTCTTTGTGCTTTTCTGATAAATAAGGATAAGAAATGACGCGTTGTTTCTTGAAAGCTCCAGGGATTGACAAGGGATCCGTTAAGTGCATTTACCTGACGTCTGCAGGCTCAGTAATGACATGCTGTCAATCAGCTTCCTCTTTCCTCATTAACGCAAGAACGTAAACGTACATGTTCAGCTAATCTCAAGGTAAAAGTACCGATTTCATTGGATTACTGGATGAAAAATGCCACTTTATATTCAAAGTGCATTCTACGCCTCTTACGCCCCTTTTCTTTATTTTCAGTTTGAGAAAGAAACACGACGGGCAGCCCGGCAGATTGTCAGAGAGAGGTAGAATCTCCTTCAAAATAAAAGCCTCCTCACCGTGCTTGTTGATGAGCAGGGCCAGGGACTCCCCGTGGCGCGAGCTGACGTAGAGCAGCAGAGCCGGACTCTGGTTGGTCCTGAAGCTCAGGGAGACGTCCTCTCCTCTCAGGGTGGTGTCGGAGTGGACGGAGGAGGGCCGGGCGCTGCTGTTCCGTCCTGACTCGTGCGGCTCCTTGAAGGTGTAGCTGACGGTGGTCCCCGACTTGAAGCTGGCCGACACCTCTGGAGGAAGAGACGCGGAGGCGTTGATGCCTCTTTAATTGGCAATATCCCAAACGGAAAGGAAGGATGAAAGCTGAGAGATCTTCAAACGGAATTCTTTTGAAAATGGTGACGCAAAGCAAACATCAAAGATCTCAAAGTACAGTCGTAAGGCTTTTTATTTGTAATGCAGACATGTTTAAACCTCTTAAATCTAAATGCAGTCTTTTTGATGTTCTCGTATCAAGAGTCCAAATTACCTTTTATACAGTCGTGCAACACACAAGACAACACTTTGCTCTCAACGGTGCTTCTATTCTGCAAATATAAGACCTGCAGCTGGATTGTTATGAATTGACACACACCAAAAAAGTCAGCCCCTTTTCTAAATACTAATAATACGCTAAACATTTGAAGTGTTCATCATGAGCGACCTCAGATGAGACACTGCAGTGTGTGTGTGTGTGCGTGTGTGTGCGTGTACCTGTGTGGCAGAAGGCTCCGGTGTGCGCCGACAGGCCGCAGTCGCACAGGAAGCCGTTGGCCCTCTCGGCGCAGCGGCCCCGGTTGCGGCACAGCGACCCGTAGCTGCCGCAGTGACCCGGGCAGCCGGCCCGAACCCCCGGCGTGATCCTCGCCCTCTCCTCCAGGTCCAGCGTGACGCCGTTCAGCTGCAGGGCGCGGATGCAGCCCCGGAAGCCCTTCTGCCTGGACGCCGTGCCTCCTGCAAACGCGGAAGGGCACCAGCTTTTCTTTTGAAATGCTTCATCAGCCCCACGGGCTCTGAGCTGTCGAGACCCTCCGGATGAAATGACACAGTGGTGAAACGGCAACGAGTTCCAGGTGGAAAGAACCGGGATCGGCGACGTGTGCGTTTGTGCCTTTGAATGAGAGCAGAATGTTCAATTTCCTTCGCTCTCAATCAATTTTCCTTGCACCCTTTTTCCTCCGGCCCCGGACGGGACACACGAGGCCGTTGAGCCCTGACAGCCTGTCATCTCTGCGAAGAGAAATGACAGGCGTCAGAGTTCCAGACAGAACCACCCCCCCCCCCACCCCAACTACCCCCTCTTAACCCCCCTCCCTCCCTCCCTTTGCCCCGGACACCAGCAGGTCGACAAAACATACCAATGCAACATGAGGAGCTGTGTGTTGACACCCCGACACGCCGAGTGCTCAGTGCCAACGACCAAAAGGCAAAAACGAAAGTGTTTACAGGTTTTTATTGACACGTATTGGCAGACAATTAAAAATAATTGATGTTGCTTTGATTAGAATAAGACGTCATCATCAAACATGAGTGGATGGAAGCGTCATTTCATCTGTTCAATGATTTGAGGTAGAACGTCTCTACGTTCGGGCTGCTGTAAGTTCACTCAGGTTTGTTCATCTTCTCAAATGAAAAGTTTGTTTTGAGGAACGAGGAAACCCGGAGAAGATGACGGTAGGTTTTAATCTTAAGAGGTCAAAAGGCCCTTTAACATACAGAAACTACAACTACTGTCCTCTCGTTGGATGCAACAATTCAAGCTTTTCATGACTTTGTAAAGCTTTAGAAACCTTACAGCTGAGCCCAGGTAGAGGCTTCCTGTAGTAAAACACTGATGGTAAAACATCAGGCGATCAGAGGAACTACCTGTGAGGAGGTCAGATCGTTTCTAGCAGCACGAGCGGGGGATTTGTGGGCTAAAGATTAAAGCGAAAAATCAAGAAAAAAATCAAAAAATGTCCACGAGTCATTCAACATCAGTAAGAATTCCGAGCGGCACGCGATGCTGCGGCGGGCGCGCGCTCCGTGCGCGGGGCCGGAGGAGGCGGATGAAAGCGAGCATCGACGCGTGCGGCTCACAACACAAAGATTTTAAAAGCAACCCGTGAAAAGAGAACTCTGCAGGAGAGAGTTTTTGATCACACTTCCATCAGCGCAGCAGCGTCAGAAAGCTCTTATGCAGCGAGAAACACACTCGGCACATTTCAGAGGATGAAACAACATCGAGAGGCGCAGACGAGCTGCAACGGAGGGTTATTTCTTTTAGCAGCTCTCGCTTTTAGACGTATGGAAATGAATTACTGAAATGAGCCCAGCATATTTTCATGAAAACACCCAAACATGAGTATTGCATGGACGATTCAAAGGTGACCCCCCCCCCACACATTCAGCCAATCAGCATTCAGCTTCTCATCTCATCACCGTCTGGTTTCCCCGCACACGGTGTGTTTACTGACATGAAGAGACGTACACAGTATTTGCAGAATGAAAAGACCTGAATTTTCGACCTGTATTTTCATCATTTTCTCCCCCTGTAGCTCCGGGGGGGTCACAGAGAGAATTCATAACCCAGTTGAGATTAACCGGCTGCAGTATTGATGAAGTTTGTGCTCGCTGAAGGTTAATAACGCGACTGCCTGGAGAATCACTTCACTTCGCACACGACGCTCTCTCTGCTCCCTGATGCATGTTTTATTTATGGAACATGATCACAAACCAGCGACTCAGCGCTTTAATGCAGTTTAGCACTTTTAAAGCAGCATATATTTATTCTCCTGTTGAAGGGCCGCGTAGGAAGAGGTCAGACCTGCTGCTGTGAGGCGTGATTCTCAGCCGATACTCGTCGTGCGCTGCGGGACGGTGCCACGATAAGCCCTCTGTGACAGACAGGCACAGACGGCACGTTTCACCTCCAACACGCCGAGCCGACTAACACGCGCCGGAAGAGGATTAAATCCCAGTCAGACGTGGATCACGTAGACAACATGCACCCCGAGTCCTCAGTGAACACTCGTAACACATCTTCATCACAACGTTACGTAAATACGTCTATTCAGCATTGATGACTCCAGTAAATTGTGCAGAAATAAGTGATGGCATTCTAAATAGAAGAACACACACAAATGATTCATGTCTTTCTATGGTTGCTATTTCTATGTTTCTAGTTAGTGGTTTCAGTTTATTCATGCTGTTTTTATGCTTTCCAATGCCACTCACATCTAAATGGAGTATTATATACAAATAAAAAATATTGTATTTCCTGTTTATTAATGGAACCGAGTGGTTGTTGTTCAGCAATGCGTTTAAAAACTCCCCAAGTGTGACAAGAAGGAGCTCATGGGGGGGAACGTGCTCCTCTCGCCTCCCTGGTGAAGACGATTGGACGCGATGGCCTCCTTTGTAACGGACTTGTTCTCTTTGAGAAGACAAAGCTCAATTCTCTTCTGCTCCACAGAGAACTGCTGCCAAAGAAACACAGTGTTAATTTCTGACTGAAAATGACTGTGACTCTGACTGTGATCCAACCGCTGAGACAGCGACCGCTTCTCCAGGCGGAGAGAAAAGGCTTCGAGAGAAACAAGAAAAACCTGTTTGAGATCCACAGAAAGGAGACTTGCTAAAGAGTCTTGAACCCCCCCCCCCCAGCAGTGAGATGAAGCGCCAACATGCTGCGCAGAATACCTATGAACAGCTGGCTGTTGAGCTGCAGGTGGAGGTGTCCGTCGGCGGGGGCCCCCCGCCTGGCCGCCGGAAGCGCGTCCAGGCGGAGCGACGCCTCCCTGACGTTGCGCTCGGCCCGGACGCGATGCCACCGGTCGTCGTTCAGGGGGACGCTCGACTCCACGCGGACCTCCAGCGGGCCGTCGCCGACGTCCAGGGAGAACACCACCCGGGTGGAGGCTGATGTAGGGAGGGGGGGGGGGGGGGGGTAAAGGGAGATAGAGAAGGATAAGAGCACAAAACGAAAGAATTGCTGCAACGTGTGAGTCTGTGTTTATTATCGCTCACGTTGTGTCGATAAAGAACCCGGGAATTGAACCTGACGGTGATTCGATTTGACCTCAAAGCTCCAGTTCGTACAAAACATGCGAGACGATGATTCATTGTGACAAATTTCCACGAGCTGCATGAAGAGGCTCCGTATGAAGATATATTTGATTCAATCACAGCTTTTGAAAACACAATTATTCCTTCTAAATGACTCCTGCTGAACGCAACGCCCTGACGCTCAGTCAGTCAAACATGACTTAGGCTCTGCGCACAACGACTGCTTCCACCAGGAATTAATTGATTTTTAGAAAATCCTATTCAGCATATTTTTTATGCAGGAAACCGTCACTTTAAATTGACACAAATTATTTTGTGTGGTGGATTCCGTAGCATAACTACAGTCAAAACCATCTGGAAAACCCCGAGACGAGTTTCCCTCGCGTTCAGCACCACGGACAGCGGCTCGCTGCCGAGTCACACGCCAGAGATTCAGACGTGTGGAGCAGAGCATCCAGAGGAACGACCACGATTTCCCCCGAGGAGAGAAGCTGTTGGTGCAGCACAGTCCGTTTGTTATACCGTGTAAGTGTGTGTGTGTGTGTGTGTGTGTGTGTGTGTCCCTTTAAATCTCATTTCTAAATCAAACTTCTCTCAGATTCAACACCAGAAGCAGCACAACACGGCGGACGCAACCAAAGCAGGAAGGTAAAGAGCGAGCAGAGAACTGTGGAGGTCGTGAGTGATTCCAGGCGTCTAAATGTGAACCTCCGTCAGCAGCGCTGCCGTAAGCACATAAACACCAGCGCAGGTGATGCAGCTCTATTCTAAATGACACAACATACGGCCGGCTATAAACACGCGTGTCACAGTTTCCGTGGCGCCACGCGAGCTAAACAACCCCCTGCTGGTTGTTACCGTGATGGTCTGAAGGACACACTATGGGAACAATAAAGGAATCAGTCGACAAAGAGCTCATGAAGCAACTGTCGTATTAAAAGAAAAAAAGAATAACGGATTAGAGTTCCCTTTTTAGTGATTTCCCCTCGGACACATTTCCTTTGTTATGAATATATTGTGTTCCCACGCGGGTCGGAAATATGCAACCAGAGGAAAAACATTGGCAACGAACTACATGCTCCAACGTGAAGAGAGGAGATGATAACATCCTCCACGGAAACTCACACTCGGAAAACACTTGTATTGTGTATAAATACATCCTGTTTTTAATTGATCACTGTTCAATTTAGGAAAATGCACTAAAAGGATCTAAAAATCTGAGTAAAAACAACAAAAAGTTTCCTTCTACTGAATCTTCGAGCAGCCCTAGACTCATGCTTAAAAATAAAATAACTTCTGATCAGGACCTAAAAAGGCCAAACACACAAACACAGATTTGATTTTGGATAAAATCTGCCCCCCTGCAGCTCCGACTCACAGCTCAGTTCGATCCGGATGAAGTCTTTGATGCCCAGGTTCTCCAGGAAGACCCCGGAGGAGGCCGTGGTTTTGAACAGGAAGGAGATGTCTGCGCTCAGCTCTCCGTGGAAGGTGGGGAAGTGGAGGTACGACGTCTCCTTGTCGAAGAACGCCGCGTTCCAGAAGTTCCCTGAGAAACGCGAGCAGAGATTCTTTGAATGAAATCCAATCAGAGACAAATTGGCTTTTTACTCGACAGCCCGAAAACAAACGGCCAACAGCAGTGTGGTTCTGTGGAAAATGTTTCTGTTTAAAGTGGTAATTAAAAACTGAAAGACACTACTGGAATAGTTCATCATTTTATATCTGCTAAACAAACCAGACGTTTGACCGTGAGCTTCACAGATGTTTGTAGGTTGGCGGTTGGACTTACTGTCTCCGTGGCAACGGAGCGGCCCCACCCGGTAGGCGGCCTCCGACTCCGGCCTCTGGACGTCACCCAGCACCAGTGACCTGACGGGGAGGCTCTCCTTATGGGTGATCAGGCCCGAGTCCTCAGCCCTGCACGCGACAAGATGATGGAGAAGCTCAGGTGAACAAAAGGTGGGGTTAGAATAAAAGGAGGGGAGGAGGAGCCGGATCGGCACAATAATAATACGTAGACGAAGAAAAGGAGGCGATCTGGAGAATACGCTGGTTTTATCGGAGTTGTTTTGAACGATTTACTCCTGAATCCGTCGAGTCAACGTCCATCCTCGGCGATTTATGCAACATGCTGCTCTTCTCCAGACGCCTCGTGTCCATTGACGCCCACATGCAGCTTCACGAGCTTAATATAATATATATAATCCTCCTCTTAGCGCCGCTGCAGAGCAACGCTCTGATTAAACACACAACCAGCGCTGGGAGCCGGAGTGTGCACAGCGCTTTGTGAGCGTGATTGAAGAGCAGCAGCAAATAGAAAAATGAAATGAGAAAGGAAGTGAGGCTGCTTGCAGGATGTGGAAAGCTTAGATCTGTTTTTCCTCTTATGAAATGATCACAGTCCATTTGTTGTTGCTGTTAGCTGTTAGTTTAAAGGTAAAAGTCTAAACCTGCAGACACATTCAGCACTCCCAAACAGTTTAGTGCACAAGTTCGCTGAGGAGGAATGTCTCTATGATCAAATGCTTATTTTATTTATATTCGCAAAATGGTCTTTTTCTATTTGTGTGTTCATCTAGACACTCAAGGTGCTTATTAAAACCCCCCCTAATGCTTTAAGTACCACTCCGTGCGGTCGGCGTCACAGTTGCAGTAGTGCTGTGGGTCCACGCAGTCGCCCCGCAGGCCGCACGCACACTGCCGGCTGCCCGGCTGAGCGCCGCCCCAGTAGGTCTGGACCCGACCGGGACCGGGACCCCCGAGCCACCAGCTGAACGGAGAGCCCTCTGAAACACACACACACACACAATGTCGACAGCGTACGGCGTGGCAGTGAGAACCTCGGCTCCTGCGATAGAACTGCAAACTTTTTGTGCGAGGAATAAAAATGTCTCCTGTTGTCTGCTGTGAGCATCGTTAATATGAGAACAGGGTCAGGAAAGGGGCTCATTCCTGAAAAATCTATAAAATCCCCAGATGTTGTTTATTTTCATGTATTCTACTCAAATTCTCTCCAGCACAACAGTCCGTCGGGTTCAACGAGAGATCTCATATCTCGCCGCAGGGACTTTTGTTTCTGTACAAAATGCATCATCTCTCCTCAAACTGGGTTCGAAGGTCTGAAAAATGCGTAACAACTCTCTTTGTGATTTGCTGTTTGCAGGTTTAAAAAAAAAAAAAACCTTCTTCAAATCTTCAAAGGCTTTGAGTTATAAAGAGACGCATCTTGCTGATTTCAATCCCTGCGAGGAAATTCTGAGCCAAGATGTAAAAAGAGCCCAAATATATAAAAAAAGCCGCTTGCCTGGTGTGTTGAGGAGGCGGGACTTCCTGCAGCGGTAGGACAGCTCCTGTTCGCAGTGCTCCGATTGGCCGATGGCGGCCGATAGCTGCTCGTCTCCAGTGGAGTAGTCAAAGTGGAGCGAACGCTGGCGTGCACCCGGAGACGGCCGGACTCTGGTCACCTCCGTGTTGTTGTGCTGGATCTCCATCCACGTGTTCTCCTCTTCACATACAGACAGGCAGCGTTACCGCCATGCAAATTACACTTCATCCTCAAGGGGATTCTTCTCACGCTGGGAAATGCTTGAAAGTTATTCTCCCAAACTCTGATTTTAATTTCCACAGTCTTGTCCTCTTTCTATTTAACGCATGTCATCTTAAAGGGAACACATGGTTTCATAATTATGTACATTTAATTATAGAAGACCATGATACGAGGGTATGTGTGTGTGTGTGTGTTGGTGTGTGTCACCTGTCATGTTGCAGTAGACCAGCTGCGGTCTGATTGGTCCGCTGCCGTCCACGTCGATATAAAAGTGTCCCGACGTGTTGCCGTTGTGTTTGTACGCCTCACAGGACTGTTCGTACACAGCTGGGAGGGAAATAATGAGATCAGCTCAACATGAATCACGTCGGCTGGCACACGCACACAGGAGCTGTGAGCGACTACACACTGAGGAGGATCGTGTGTTCTGGATCACTGTCTCATAACCAGAGCAGGAAAATCATCCTCCGTTTGATTCCTGCAGCCACGTCCCGTAAAGTAGAGAGGAATCCATCTGGAGAGGACGGTGATGACTGATGGGAGCGCAGAGACTCAATAAATAAAACTTTAGAGCTTTATCAGCCCTGCCTCTCCCACGCACACACACACGCACACACCCACACACACACACACACTCCTCCAAAATCAAAGAATCAGGCCTTTCCAGTCGAATCCATATCTCAGGGTCCCCACACTCTGCTCCGCTCTGCTGTGCATCTATCTTCTTCTCCACCGCCAAAGGCCTTTTCTTCACTCAGTGTGGTTAGAAAAAGATTTCCACAGAAAAAAAGTGAAGCTCTTTGGTTTTAAGGGTTTGACTCGAGGGAGTCGGCACAGAAAGCTGCAGATGGAACCAAAGTTCGGTTTAATGCGCTCGTGCACTATTGGAAACAGCAACATGTCCTTCACGGGGTTTTAAACATTCGGGCACAGAGGGTTTGTTCGGGGTTAAAAAGGTCCTCTGACCAAAAGCTTTTTTTCTTTTTCTTCTGTCACAATTCACCGTTTGCAGCACTTGAAGAAGAGAGAAAACTATGATTGCTGAAGTATGGCGGGTAAGTGCTTCACTGAGTGGCAGCTGAACTATGGAACTATAAATTGAGCCTCTTTCCCGTCTGCCGGCTTGAGAAGTCTCTTAAATGCTTTCCCACATGACTCAACTGACTTTTTTTTTTCAAACACCGGTGATTTTTTTTTTCCAATTTTGCTTCCTATTGATACAACTTTGATGATTATAAAAGGAGAAGTAAAAAGGTCAAATGAAATGTATTATTTATCTCTGCTCTCCTGCTAACTGTTTTATAAACCGCGAATCTGCAGCAGCGCGCACACAAGGCTGCCGATGTCATGTTTTGCATCGCCGTTATAGGGGAAAAGATTTGGTGACCGGTTGGTGGTTGGCGGCGGACAGGCCCTGACGTTACCACGGCAACTGAGGTTTGACTCACAGCTGTGGCAGGTCGCTCCGCTGTAGCCGCTGGCCGAGCAGTTACAGCGGAAGGCGGTCCAGGACTGAGTGCAGCGGCCGCCGTGTTCACAGCGACTGGGCGAGCACCTGGGAGAGAGAGAAAGAGTATGTGTATATATATATATATAAATATTAAAAAATATATATATATATATATATTTATTTATATATATATATAAATAAAAAAAAAAATATATATATAAAAATATATATATTTATATATATTTATTTATATATATATATATTTATTTATATATATATATATTTATTTATATATATATATATATATAAATATATATATATATATACACAGTATATATATATATATATATATATATATATATATATATATATAGGTCTATTAACAGCTAAAATAAAATGAATTTCACTCTGTTACATGAAGCTTTTTTTTTTAAATAAGTGGGCAGGAAGCATTTTGAATTGTGTTTACACGAGCCTGTTGTTAATGGCCAGCTGTGTGTGGGAGGGAACAATCTGACCAGTGGGGGCGTTTCGTCTTTCAGGGGACGTCCTGTTTTCTACTGAGGCAACAATGAGTAAACAATCTGTTGCTCTGATCAAATCAAATCAAACTAATGATGATTTCACTGGACGTTCACGCCAATAAAGCTTATTTGAATATCTTCTTCCATCCTTTAATATAAAGCACCTGTCACCCTGTTAAATAAAGCGCACAGATAACAACCCCCCCCCAAGGACACACACTGCAGGAACATACACACACTTTCAGCCCACGCTGCAGTAAAACCACACATCCATTGAAACTCAGAAGAACCCTTTAAAACATCGATCTCTGCCCCCCCCGTCCTCCTCCACCCCATCCGGATCCAGTTTGGACCAAACAAGAACATTTAAAAGTCTTTTTTTCCTCCTGACCTCACAGGGAAATAAATCCCGTGGGCCCAAAACGCCATCGGCAGGATTACAGCGGAATGAGGTGGATTTATTTTTCTCTTTACTGGAAAACGGGATTTTTTTTTTGTGGGTTTGTTTCAGTGAAAAGTGAGTTGTGATTTACTGCTGAATAATCGAATTACCTCAGAGAGAAAGAAGCTCAGTGTGTGTGTGTGTGTGTGTCCCTGGGGGAGCGTTTATAATTGTAATAATTGTCTCATTAATTGTGTGGCTCGTGGACGAGACATCTAATCAGAAGAGGTTTGTTCATTTGTCATCGCTCTGTTTCATCTCGTTCGTGTATTGTGACGTCACATGACCTGTGATCACATGACACATTATGTACGCGTACTGATGTATTAATCTGCATGTCAATCAATGTCCGCGAGAAAACACTTGTCACAACACGTCTTCACACAAGGATAATTGCGAATTTCACCGTGGAGATGTGTGTGTGTGTGCGTGTGTGTGTGTGTGTGTGTCTCTAAGATGCTGCTCTACTTCCCCCCTCAAAGTCTGTTCTCATAAGATGTTGTATAAAAAAACAATGGAGGAGAAAAATTTCTGCTCCAGAAGCAACAAAGCGCACAACCGTTTGACAGAATAATGCACCAATTCTAATTTCAAATCAAATCTATATTAAAAGCTTTACAAATAATTGGTATTTATTAAATAGTACATCCTTTCATGATCACATGATTCTGTGTAAGATCAAGTTCACGCTGATGATGTCGACCAGGAAAAGATAGATGATTATCTCACTCGCCCAAATTCAACATTTTAACACTGTTCTCACTGTGATGTCTGTGGTCGTTGGACTATAATTCACGGGATGTGATGATTTATTCAATATAACTATAATAGATCCTGCCGAGTGTGCGTCAGGTCTCACTTCACGGAGTTAATATATATACAATCTGAAAATCTAAAAGAAATATTCTCCCATCTCACTCCGCCAGCTGTGTGTCGACACGGAGAGTCGACGGGGCCTTTTATTTAAACTGGTTTGGGGAACTGGGAAACTGACCTGTCGATGATCCCACACATGTCGATCTGCAGGTGGCTGAAGATCCCCAGCTGCTTCTTCTGCACCATCATGAGGTCCACCATGAGGTGGTTCAGCGACAGGAGACGCATGCAGCCCAGGAAGACGTTGAAGGGGTTTCTGCACCTCGGCTCGTTGTCTTCGGCAGGACAACCTGAGAAGAAGACACAGGAGACATCGGTGCGATGTTTTTTTGTTTTTTTTTAAACGCACACATCACGGTTGACATGCTCCTCTCTCACCACCGAAGAACAGGTGACTTTCCACGGCGACAGCGTACGGGGGAGCGGCTTGGGCGCTGCCTCCTCCCTCTCCGTCCACACCGATGCTCAGACGACCTCGGCTGGAGGTCAGCGCCACCGAATGCCACTGGCCGTCATTCAGGGCGGAACCTGGAAGCGCGACACGAGAAACGCCGAGACGTTAAGGACCTTCGGGCTGGACTGCGCTTGCTCTCCGCGTTCCCTTCGTCGTTGATGCTCAGCGAGCACCACGACCCGTCTGCGCCGCGAAGAAGGAATCAATATTTCATCATCTCTTCTGTTTTTCTTGCTGACTTAAGAGTCATTTTTCAGTGGCTGCACAACACTTTGGGAACGAGGAAGACACAGTAGATCATAGTAAACTACATTGTGAAGCACACGCAGACTTCATGGGACAGATCTATGGACCAGGATGGCTGAGTGGTTAAGGCGTTGGGGTTAAGACCCAATGGGCAGATGCCCTCATGGGTTCGAACCCCGCTCCTGGTATTATACTACATGTATATTATTTGGTCTTGAAAATGAAAAGTTGGATGAATTTAATAACATGATCACAGGTTGTGAAATGATTTACGTTGTCAGGTAATGAACTGCGTTATTTCCTGCTCAACAGTTTGGGTAAAGAAGATAATCATACCTACTTCAATAGAATTTATTGCAAAACTCCCACTTTTGTAACGCTAAAAACCCATTATGTTGTCACCAGGATGGCTGAGTGGTTAAGGTAAGCCCCAACGGGTGATGCTCCTCACGGGTTCAAACCCCACTCCTGGTATACCATGGATGTAATACTGTACGTCCATGGAGGTTTTAAGAAGAGAGAAGATTATCTGTAAGGTTTGCAAAGTGATAAGAGGGCTGCAATCACTGACATGTTTGTATTCTACATATCAAAAAAATGTCCAAACAATTTACAATTCTGGTGAAAATAAAACACTCCATTATCAGCTGCTCAACAGCATTCGTAAAAAGGATGTCTCTGAAGTACAACAATACAGTACATGTCATCTAGCTGACGCGTTTATCCAAAGAGAGTGCATTTCAACCATAAGGAAAAGAGCAAGAAAGTGTGATTTCGTCAAAAAAGCCCATTTACAACTTGCCATTATAAGTACAGTTAAAGTGCTACAATCCGTTTAGTCTTTTAGTGGAGGTAGAGTCTGAAGAGGTGTGTCTTTAGTTGGCGGCGGAAGATGTGAAGGCTCTCTGCTGTCCTGATGTCATCAGAGAGCTCGTTCCACCATTTAGGAGCCAGAAAAAATCCATTTAGATTTTGCCAAACTACCTCATTGATCATCATCATGATGCGGTCACCAGGATGGCCGAGTGGTTAAGGCGTTGGACTTAAGACCCAATGGGCAGATGCCCTCGTGGGTTCGAACCCCACTCCTGGTAATAGTCAGATGCTTCAGTAATGTCTGAAGGTCCATTTTAGAGAGAAGACATGTAGCTTGTAGATGTACCTGCACTGAGCTCCAGCAGCGCCCTGCCGGCTTTATGGATCTGCAGCCGCAGTCTGGCCTCGCTCAGGTACAACCAGACCACGCCCCCCTGCTGAGGCAGGTCAAAGGTGAGCAGAAGCCCCGCCTTGTTCCACGTCCTGATCTGGAACCCGACGGACACGCCCCCCGACGAGGACGGTGTCGCCCCCGGCAACCGGAGGAAGCTCCGGGGGCCCGGGAACGTCACGGCGACGGAAACCGACTCAGCGCAGGAAAAGGTCACGTTGCCCTGAGAGAGAAACGTGGAGGGAAAGAGAGAGAGAGATGATTACAAGAGAGATTAAACAACATTAAACATGAATAATTAATGAGCTGCGGAGGGCGGGCCGACGTGACCTCCGGTCACTTGATCTCATCAGCGAGTCTCCTTAGGAGGACGCCGGTATTAGCATGATGATAACAGCGAGGCTTGGAACAAGATCAGGAAAGCAAACTGAGCACAGCGGAGTCACCCAGCGTGCCGGGGAAAATAGAAGAAGGAGAAGGTACAGTATCTGGACACATGGTTTGAGTAGTGGGAAGGACACTGCTATCTTTACAAAGCTCCGGAAACACTCACAACCTCTAAAAGCCCTTTGTGGCGCTGTTAAAGTGAAGGGCGGTAACTCATGTTGGCAGCGTAGAAAGTTAACTTCAAAATCTCCAAAAAGCCTGAAGCGGGACTGACGCAGCGATCCTTCCTCACTTGGTGTTAATGCCTCCTCACAGAGCCCCTTAAGCGCCGTTTGGTCTTTGTTTTAAATTTATACATTTAAATTGGATCATAACTTTGTGGCTAATAACCCAAAAGCCACCCAGCCAACATTAAATTGCCTCAATTAGATGTTCGGCCATGTGCGGGAAATCTCTGAACCTCTTTAGCAAGAATTCATGTTTTTTGTTTTTTCCTGCTGAGAACATGAATTCCTCGCTATGGAAACGCCTCACAGCGTCTCCCACGAGGACGTTTCTCCTCTCATCGAGAACGAGGACACGTCCGAAGGTCCTGGTGGCCGAGAATGGGGACGACTCGGGATGAAGGGGACGCGTGAGACGCCCGCAGGTGGTTTATCCACTTACCCTCACAGCGACTCGGAGATCTCCGTTTTTAGCTAATTCTACCACGTTGACGCTGTTGAACTTGAGGTTTTCCAAGCAGCCGTGAAAGTTCCCCTTGGAGACATCTGGGCTCTGAGATCCGCGGCTCGGCACCGTCCCCACGCTCAGCTGCGAGGGGACAGAACGGGTCACGGGGAGCAACGAATGCTGCGTCTGATTGCACAAAAACGTGCCGGTTCACTGGAATCCCCACAATGCCACAGTGTTTCATCCCACCTGCTCCGCCTCCCAGCCGGCGAACTCCGCCGGCAGCCGAAGGCGCTCCGCGTGTTCGTCCACCGTGACGTTGAGCTGAGAGCCGCGCCGCTCCACCGCCAAGCGGTGCCACTGCTGATCGTCCAGCAGGCTGCCGAGGGAGGCGACGCGCCGGGGCTCCGAGGAGGGAGGACCTGGGGGAGACGAGGAGGACGAGAGCGTGAGAAGGTCATTTCCCACCAACTAAGCTGGTGCGGACAGAGAGAGACAGAGAGGTGAACGCCGGGCCAATGAAATCTCTATTACGATGCATATTTGAGCTTTCTCAGTGTCCCCGCGGAGACGATCACGTCGAGGTCGGCCTGTCTCATCTCATCAGAGGCTTAAAGGTTCCACCGGAGAGCCGAAGACAAACGTGTTTTGATGCCAGGCAGGAAAAAGTGCAGCGCAAACATGGGAAGAAGTCGTCGATGATGCATGAGCGGCGGGTTTCGTACCAGCGGATCCATTTCATGCTGCACCTCAACGCAGCGGGAGAGAAGACTGAAGGCCGGAGACCACAGTCGGTCATTAAACATGTATGCGATATTCTTCAGGGAGACACGACCTCCGGCTTCAAAGAGAAGCAATGTACTTGTGACAATGCGGCTCATCTGGTTGGAGGAAAATAAAAGTCCATTCAGAGAGAGAACGGCGGGTTGGAGACGTTGCGATTCGTCTTCAACTTATGTTGAGATCAATATGAACGGGAGGCCCAGAGGAGAAGGAGAGGGCTTCACCATCGAAGGTTTCTGTGACTGGATGAAGAGGAAACAAATAGCCTGAATTGATTTTAGTAGACAGAGCTCACGTGGTTTATCTGCTTTCTGCAGAATCCAGCTCATAAAAGGAGGAAAGAAACATCATCTGCACGTTTCTTGGTCATTTCTTTGGACCTACAGGGAAAACTCTTGGATAACCAGTGCTTTCCGCTGAGTCCTTGGGCGAGATTATTATACGGGTTGCGATGCGGGTCGCCACAAATCAATAGGTTGCTTCCCGATGGGAGCGCGACCGTGCACGGGGAATATTAACGAGCAGCAGGTCAACGCGACGGAGCCACTGAACAGAGATCATGAGCGTAAACGAGAATAGATGCATGAATAGCGTCTTCGGTTCATGTGCACATAAAAAGTAAGTGACTATGTGTTCACATGATTATAAAACCCCAGTGTTTAGGATACCAGTAAGTACGCGTGTCCACATTGAGCCGGATGGCGTCCCCCGGAGCAAGTGGGCTCCCAGCACGTTTTAAACGAGAAGCTCTGTGATTCAAACGCGGCTTCACAGGCCGCGAGAATCTGCAGCTAATGACCAGATAACTCGCATCGCCCTGTTTTGATTGCACCTTAAATTCTTCCTTGGGAAGAAAAGGAAAACGGAATAATCGCTGAGCCTCGGAGGCCGAATTCTACCGTCGCGTTTGTGTCTGTGAGTGTTTTGTCTCCTCTTCTCAAGCGGGACAAAGCTGCCGTGTCTTTGAAGGGCCGTTACTCATTGTTGCCTCATAAAAGCCCAACGACGTCGTGCCCCCCCCCCCCCGGGGCGGTTCAGACCCGGAGGTGTATGAGGTGCATGAGAAGGGGCGGAGTCCAAAGTAATGAAGACAGAATGATGAAGTGCGTCCAAAGAAGATGAAGAGGAGATGATGACGGGTTGAAAGCTTTAACAGTGAAAAAAAACGCAAGAAACCTCAAAACAAGGTGGGACGCTTGAATTATGAAGAAATCCTTGTGATGCTTCAAACAAACTGTTGCTAGAGGGCATCAGTTGCCCTCTAGAGACGGGGATTTGGAGGACGAGGACACAAGTCACGAAATGAATAATGTAGATCTCAAACACATAATGTAACCAAGCAAATAAACACCTATTCAGGCTTTTTGACCGCTGTGTGTTTCACCTCCGAGCTCACAGAGCATCCTGCACACGCTCAAGACATTACACCAGAGACAACTAAGCAACGTGGGTTTGTCTCCTCGCGTCTCAAACGGGACGACGGGCTGCCAGCCTGACACCTCTGGTTTGACCCCATTTAAACGCACACACACACACACACACCTCCCCACGTAATGGCTGTAAGCCATGCATCACCCCCTCCAGGCTCCGGCCCGAACACATGCCGCAGTGCGCGGTGCCATCCATCATGTCCGCGACGACTCTGAGATGCAGCAGCACGGCGGGGGCCAAGGTTTAAACCAATCAGGCGGCGGCGTGCGTATCCACCATCCCACCCAACCGCAGCCAATCTGAAAGTTATCTCAGGCGGCGTTATACGATCAGACCAGAAAAGTCCGCAAAGTGACTTACAAGTTCCACGTCACGGAAAAAAAATGAATTCTTGCTGATGAAATTGTTAGCTTTTATTTCCCATCAGTAGTGGATGGATCGAGAATAAAAGCTTCTGAAGCAAAGCATTTGTGAGAGTAAAGTGGAGGGGGTCAGGCTCCCCTTCTGCAGGTACACACAGTATTCATGCAGCCGGAGTAAGTAGCAGCACGAATGCCCGTCGTGTTCACGTGGCGCTCCGTACCTCGTGTGAGCAGCAGCAGCCTCCCTCTCTCCAGCTCCAGGCCGAGGCCGAGTCCCCCCCCCCCGCCCTCCGCGCGCAGCAGCGTCCCGGAGTTCCTCAGGGTTTTAAACTGCAGGGTGACGACCTCTCTGACCGACCCCCGTGTCCCCGGGCTCGGTCTGTACAGCAGGCCGCTGCTGCCGTCCAAACCCAGGACATGGGAGGCTGAAAGGCGAAGAAGTTGAGTCAGCGCTCTGGGAATGACGGCTGAGAGTAAAAGTCAGAACAGCAAACGACGCCTCGGATACCAAGCAAAGTTAACGCCGTCACATGCTTAGCTATCGTTTCAGACATTTGTGGGAAATTGTCACAATTAGTCTAATAAGTCGGTTTTTGTAAGGTCATACGGCGACCTTTGACCTTCAACATCTGATCAGTGCATCCTCAAGGTCAAGTGGGCATCTAGTGCCAAACAGAGGCCCTTGTGTCACGTGATACAGTGTGGAAACCGTATAACGAAACCATATAAATCTGAATAAAGTAGTTAGATGACAACATCTGTAACATCAGCTTAACTGAGCTGTCAAACAAATCAGCCTTTAGGGTCCTGGATCACATTTCTCCAACTATTCTGTTTCGTCTATGGATGACGTGCCTTTGGAGCAAGAGGCAGAGTGTTATCGTGAAAAACCCTGCAGAGGAGGAGAGGAGTCTCACTGTGAGGACACCCGTAGGCCTCCAGCCGCAGTCCCATCCTCCCGCTGGGGTTCCAGTGCAGAGGGAGGAGGCGCAGGAAGCGAGCGACGGCCGGCTGCTGCAGTTTGTACTGAACCACGCTGTCTGCGTTACTGTTACCTGGGAAAGACTGGATGCACCAACATGACAGACAGCATGAAGCTTAGACACACACACGCTTCTTTATCGAATTATTTCTTTGTAGAATTACATCGGTGCTGAAGTCCAAATGCAACTCAAGCTGGGCTCCTAAACATTAACAGCATTGCAATTCTAAATGAACAGTTTCTCCAGAAATATATAAATATATATATGACCTGTAATGTAATTATAAAGTGTGCAGTGATCGTCTGACTGCTTTTCTTCTTTGTATCGTCCGATTTGCATCCACAGATACATTTAATTCATGTCACCGAGGTGCATATTCTTGTGTTCTCACTGGTGAATAACAGCGATGTATAGTAGAGGGAACTCACACAACAGGTGGGGTCGGGTGGTGCTTGTGAGTCACTCAACTGAACGCGTTAACAGCGAGAGGTGACAAGTGCTTTTATTTTACTAAGACGTACCTCCTCCTCTGAGGAAGGAAGAGAAGTTCCCCTCCGCTTAAAGCAGATCCTCGGCCTCCTCCCGCCGACGGAGCGGCTCCCTGACTAATGCTCAGAGGTCGGGGAACACTTTGAAAACGCTGCGGGGATTTATGCGGAGAGTCAGATCAGTTTTTTAAGCCGTGACAAAGTCGTCCCTCCCGCTCCCCGACGAGACGAGTCCTCGCCGCCGAGATTAGCTGGACTCCCTTCCATGTGGGCGAGTTGGCTCGGCTCTACTTTTAATCAAAAGCTCCCCTCTGCACCAGCGTGACAAACGCCGGGTTCACCCGGGCGTTTAATGTCCACTCTCACAGTGTGTTAACGCCACACGTTTCCATGCTTGTATTGTGCGACCGTGCAGGTCAACAAGCGCTCTGCGCCCACGGGATGCTCACTGCAGCGGGACAAATGCAAGGCCAACGCCACACCTGGAGACCACAGAAGAAGAGCTCCGACGGATTTGCTCATTAATCAGCTCCGCCTTTCTGACACTGCAGATTCAAGTTGCAGCACACCTATGTAGACTCCATGGACTTCATGGACTCCATAGACTTCATGGACTCGGCTGCCTCTCTGCCGGCTCGCTGCGAGTCCGTCAACAGCAGCCGGAGCGCTTCGGTCTGCACAGTCAGCAGAGCTCTCTCAGCGGTTCATCTATTATTAATTAAGAGTCAATGGCTCCTGATGACTGTGATTATCTCCTCGGGAAGGACGGATTCCTGCGGAGCGGCACCGCTAACCGCCGCCGTCCTCAGTAAATGGGACTGTGCAAACAGATGAATTGTAATGAACCAGAGTGCGGGTTCATTTTTACATCAATTACTTGATGAGGTTCTCACGTGTGTAACCGTGACTTAAGTGGTACTGTTTGGAGACGTCAGACGTCTTTATTTTATTGGCATTACAGAGAACTTGCTTTGAAAAGGAAGTGTGTTGTTCTACGTTCATTCTAAATTATTTTACATACTTGCTAAATGAATTCCAGAAAAAACATGTTATAGAAGAACATCCGTGGACTCACCCCGATGCTGTCCTCCTGCCGGTGCTGTTTCCAGTTGTGCCCCGTGTCGCTGAACATCAGCAGGTACGACGTCAGCCAATCAGAGCTGCCGTAGCGGCCCTGCGTGGCGACGGCGGCGATCTTGGTCCGCTGGCCGAGGTCGACCTCCAGCCACTGATACCCGTCCGAGGTGAGAGGAGACCAGCCTCCGGCGCCTGCAGGGGGGGCGTGTAGAAGACATAGAATTGTCATAAATAGAAACCGTTTTATTGTTTTTTAGCTCGTCGGAACCGCGATCGATTTCACTCTTTGTGGGAAAACAGTAAAATAAAAGAGATAAATTTCTGTCATCCTTCATTGAGCCTATTTGTCATCATCAATCAAAAGAAGACATGCCGCCTCCACAGCGTTTCATGCCGGTTTGACCTTTGTCTTATTTTTCTAATGACACAAAGTAGTTGTGCAGGACTTGATTATGTTACAATGGAGGAGAGCATCAAGTGGGTCTGCAGCAACGTCCACGTCGCAGCAGGTACAATTCTGTTTTTGTGATTTAAGAGCCGTCACGCTGCAGAGGTCCTGTCCTCTCTATTATGTTCTACAGACCCAGTTAAACCTCCTTGTTCGCACATCATAGTCAACATGTTTTTCGTGATAATGTAACATTGATGCTATAATATTCGCAGTAATAAATAATTCAACATTTGCTGCTCTCACTTGTCCCGTCTCATGTGACGCGAGATGCATTTTCTGGTACCTTCTCATAGCTGAGATCATATTACTGGAATGAGTTCATGACAAAGTAGTTTAGCGGACAAATCCTTGAGTATTCCAAAGCGAAACATGACCGACGCGCGGTTAAGCTGCCGTGCGTCGGTCCAGCAGCGCCACGAGTGTCCTTTCCTACGAGGCTGCAGAATGCTCTGCTGATTAGTGGTGCAGTTTGCCTGCAGCATTGCATCCTTTGCTAGACGTAATATCAACGACAGGAGGTCGTGAGGCGAAAGCGTTAATTAACTTTACAGAAACTGGGAGCTCTGCGTTAAACATCCCCAATAAAGAGCAGCGCTGTGACATATTGACCGATTTGTACCGTAGATGAACGGTTTGAAAGAACTGAAAAAAGGGTTTGAATGAGATTAAAATGAAATGAGTATTTAAAACGTGCAGGTTTTTGCACGTGTGTGTGTGTGTGTGTGTGTTGGAGGGTGCTTCGTCAGGTCAAAGCGATGACTCAGAGCTCCAACGCCAGAAGGACGATGCTGAAGGAGGAGGCTGCTGACCAGCGTCCCGCCGAGCGCGCACACACACACACAATACAGAGAGCACAGTACAATCCTCGGCTGTTACACAGAGGAAGACACACACATATACATACATACTATAGCTGTAATGTGTCAAAAGAACGCACAATGTAGATTCCCTCTACGCCTCCAGGGGACACTCCTGAGCCGTCCACTCCCGGAGAAGCTGGAGAGCCTGAAGAGTCTTTCTGCCGCACAAATCCTTCACAAAGGAAATTGGCTGTAAGTCCTACTCCGTCTAATTGGTGTGGTTCAGGGTGAGCGTTTAGCAAATAGCTGAGGTCAAACGGGGACAACAATGAGGGACGGAGAGGACATGTTGAACCTTCAGGAGTCCTGTGAGCACGGAGCAAAGGTCAAACTCACAGATTGAGCGTCTGTTCATCTCAACGCTCAGCTCGACCCTACCTGCTCCCCGGTGTGAGGCCGCCCGTCACGGCCAACCTGCAGGGGGCGACATTTCGCTTTGGATTCCCCTCAAGGTTCAAACCATCTTTCCCGTATATTTATGTCCAAGCACGAGCCAATTGCTTCCAACCCCTGAGAGTGAAGAGCGGGACGGGAACACAAACTGTGAACAATGTGTGGAGGACGGAGGAGAAAAAAGAAATCGCTGTCGGCGTGCCGGCCGCTGGAACCTGATCTTTAAAGAGCTAAAGGCCAGAGCTAATCAGCAGTTGACCAACAGACGTGTTAGTGACAGGAGAACAGCAGAGAGCAGACGCTCTGACCTTTACCCGCGAAGATCAGACCGGGGCGACAGCGAATCGGGAAGGAAGCGTTACGCGTCCGCCCTGACGGGTACAATTGAAGCAGAATTGAAGTGATTGGCTGCCGGTGTGAAGACTTGTCACTATAAATCAAACACGTTTCCCCGTTTTACTTCCATCCCGAGTTTGACCAGCCACTGAGAAACGTGACATCACTGCTCTGCCAGCGAATGAGAACAACAAACTCCAATGTCTCTACCAATTAGGGAGAAGAGAGAGCTAATTAACGCTCAATTTTCATTTCTCGCCTCTAGATTTTGTGAATTAAATCACGCAGGCTGCCGTTGATTTAGACGCCGGCTCGCGTTGGGTTTTGCAGCCCCGTTAGCATCGCTCAGTGGCCGAGCAATCTGCGCTTTCCAGACGGTCTCTGTCGAGCTTTTGCTTCACATCTGACGTCAGCACCTTGACATAAAATAAATCAGGTTGAGATCCGTCTTCAGAGCCACGGGCGGGGAGGGGAAGCCGTTTTGACCACAGATACCTGAGCCTGATAATTGTGTGTCAGAGCAACCTAGCCGGTTGCCATGACGACACCTGCCTCTCTTCAACCCTCTGTCCTCCGGCTCCTGCATCCCTTGTGGGTTTTCCAGATCTCGAGCCGCCCCCCTGCACATGAGTCCTCTGCCTTTCCCCATTCGATCATACATGTGTTTATAGGTCCCTCGTTGTGTATCTGTTCATTCTATCTTCAAACTGTATCATAGCCTGGAAATAGCCTTCACAAGCTTACTTGAGATGGTTTGACTGCTCTTCCCCCCCCTCAGACACTTCGGTGATCGCCTTCCCCTCTAACGGGCTCCGACACCCGACACCGACTCAACTCGGCGTCCTGTTGTCATTAGAGTAGAACAGGTACGAAGACGCGAGCCGGTCAGGCTGCGCCGCCCTCTTTCTGCGCCGCCGTTGGAGGGGAACCTAGCTTGACGCGAGCCCGCCGCGGACTCCGGCTTCACTAAAAGCCCCAGATGGACGGATCATCAATAATGTAGCGATATTCCACCCTGACGGGTAGAGAGGACACAGAATGCAAAGAGAGAAAACACGAGTCGAAGCCGGATGGAAAAGGCCAAAGGGGCCGAGGAAGAGGCGTCGCCGTGACGGACAGGTGGGAAAGTGGAAGGAAGACGGGCAGCTGAGGGGAACAAAAGGGAGGCGTGTAACAGGCGGACTGCTGCATACAGGTCTGGAATGAGAGCTGCTAATTTGCATGAGAATACCGAGGCCGGATGGTGATTCCAGCCACCCGATAAGACGCCAGACGGGCCGAGCGACACAACGGGAAGCTGGAAGTCGTCGTTCGTCTCCTGCAGGCAAACACAGTCCCACTGGAGCGCCAAGTGTAACACTGGATCTTTGCAAATTAAGTTCAAGCTGAACATGCACGAGTAAATCAATTAGTTGGCAATCCATTCACACATCCAGAACAGGTTAAGCTATTTTAGATGCAACATGATTGCGGTGCGACAGTAATTGCTTATGAATTGGATTCTTAACTGCAGCACCATCGCTGACTGTCTCTGCTGCCCGACACAAGGAACACAGTGAGACAGAGCTGCATAAATGGTGCCTAACCGATAAAAAAAAGAACAAAATTTAAAAAACTACTACTATTACTATTTTAACGCGAGAAGACGAAAGGTATAACAGATAAATCAAAATGAAGAATAAGACTGAGGATTCAAACAAAGAGGTTTAACGCTCAAAAAGAAAGAGACTTTAATCTCCGATCAGCCGCCTGCCACAGATTTACAATGCAGACGTAAAAATCATGTGCATGAGCAAAAAAACGTCAAATTTCAATGAAAAGTTCTGTATATAAACCGATTTTCCAAGCACGCTTTAGACTCACGTATCACTGCTGAGCTTTGTGTGATGAGCATTGCTTTATTTGCGGCAATGAAGAACCTCAAAGAGGGTCTTTGAGGACTTTCTGAACTGAAGCCTTTGCGTGTTAAGCCCTGCATAATCTGTTAAACCACGCCGTGCTTCAGGTCTCAACAAAGATTGTATCTGCTGGCTGTGCATCGCTATCAGACCATCTCTGACTCCGGTGGAGACAGATGGAGCCAGTTTACATCCATCAATGGGAAGGTGGAGGCACTGGGCTCAAGGTGATGTACTCTTTCTGGCGTCCTGACCGTGACACAAGTCATCGGGGCGTCGCCCATTGGTCACCGCGGAGGAGGAACGTGGAGACACACACACACACGTCACGCTTTATGGTACATTTTACTCTGTATGGGACCACAAATTACAAAGAAAACATCTTGCATTGAAGAAGACTTGATCCCTGAACGTGTGCATTGGACACAAAAAGCGATATTCTAATGATGCAACATGGCAATATGATGACACAATACAATCATCAGTTTTAGTCTGTTATCACCAGATGCACCAATCCTGTTTATTCACCTCACGCCAGTGAAACAACTGCGTTGTGCTGCAGATGCTGAAAGGTTTACCACGTCTTAAAGGAGGTCGGAAGGTCTTTCCTCACCTCGGGTGGGTGACGAATAAACGACACGAAAAAGCGAAAATATTCTTTGCCTCAGGTTTTTGTGTTAAAAGATAAGAGAGATAAGAGTGTGCTGCCTTCTTCAAGGTTGAAATGGGCAAACATTTATATAAATATGGGCACAAATCAACCTCAGCTCAGAAATCAGACCTTGGTCCGTGAAGGAAACAAGTGGCTCTTTCTGAAGCATTATATTTGCCTCCTCGGTGAAAGTGGTCACGACAAAAGCAGTTAAATAAAGACCCGGCGACGTGCGCGTGAACCGCTCACAGAGGAAACAATCCCCGGTGTGCGAAGGCCTTTGGGATTATTTGTGCATCGTCCACGTTTCAGATCGTAGAAGAAGAAGAGAGGCTTTGCGGCGCTGATGCAGCCCGGGGGGAGGCGATGCGACACAAACGGCTCTAGTGATCCTTTTGTCGGGGCCGGTGTGAGGGACGAAGCTACGTCCAATCTACCAACTAGTGCAGTGCGATGAGCCGCTCTCATGGGGATGATGTCATGACTTCATTTTCCATCATTTTACAATGTTATGAATTAAATTTGATGAAAATGTCAAACAGCCTGATATTTGGGTCCAGATTGAGTCAATCACCCTCCCTGCTGATTCAGGGCTTTGACCCCCCCCCCACGATCCCACTTTGTCAGAGCCTCACATCCAGCACAGGACTCCCTGCTGGGGTTTTAATGGGAAGACAGACACTTTCATCCCTCTGCAGCTGCAGTACAAACAGCACCTAAAGAGAAGAACGGTGAGGCAGCGCCGCTATTTATTGGTCCTGCTTTCATTTTGTCTCGTTTTTACGTCAGTCACATCTGCTGAAATATTTTTGTTATGGCTAAAAAAATGCTTCAAAGAAATATTAGTTAAAAACAATTCACTTCAGGCTACTTTAAACGGTACCGTACCATTCGTTTGATATCCGTCAACTGATATTATAACTGGTAGAAGCTATAAACCAATTATACTTGAGCCGTATTTGAAACATCAATACGTGTCTTGCAAGGCGGACGTGTGTTTAGTTGCCGCTTTGTCTGTAACTCATTCTGTTTTCCTCACCGTCCCTCCTGTTGAGCTTGGCGAAGCTCGGCGCGTGACTGGCGGACAGCTGGGAGGAGCTTCTGAAGGACGCCGGCGGCAGATTGGACACCAGCGGGCTGTCGCACACCTCTGTCGACCAATCACAAGAAGAAAGCACACGCGGTTAGGGCCTCACACTAAAAACACATCGCAACACGTCATAAAAACGCAGCATGAACGGGTCCCGGTTCTACTACTCCAAAACCCTGCTTGGTTGTCTTTTTTTTAACAAAAGGAATAAAATATTGTATCGCTGCTGCTGTGAGACTCTACAGCAGCTGATGTGCGTATGAACAATTAAATGCAACATTTAAAGCAACGAACAGTATTATGCATGAGATGTTCAGTTGGAAAACATAGAATCAATCTGTTCAACAACACCGAGCAGTCCAGGGGAGGACAGATGGTCAGAACAAGAGCACAAAAAAAGCAGAAGACCAGGGGAACCGGTGCAGGAGCATCGCATCCTTCCAGCCTCAGCAGCTGAGGGGTTTCATCGTTGAGCTGCAGGCTCATTGGTGGAAACAGGCCTTTGACATCCAAGCGGATCACGACAAAAGCTCGACAGAGAAAGGTCTCCTCTCTTAGCCGGGGCGAGGAACCCCCGCGGAGAGCAGAGGTCAACGGGAGAAATCACTCTGAGGACCTCACAGTATCACACAGCCGGAGGCAGTCGTTATTCTCCAGCTCCGACGCGGCGAGGAAACTCATGCTGGGAGGTGAAAATGATCAGCGCCGGCCTTTGATTCCCCCCATCATGCATTTCAGCATCTGTTCATAAGGCCAAAAGGGTTTGCACGTCTTCGTCTCCGTTGCTGTTGAGCGTGTGAGCAGAGTGGAGTCTGATCTCCGGGGAGCAGGTCCAACGGATCCCAGGCGGGACCAGGACTTTCAGGGAGCGTATTGAGCGAACGCTGTATTAATGTGGATGGATGAACGTGGTGATCGTGCCGCGAGATGAACGGCGTCCCGATGGAGACGAATCGGTGTTGTCAGGAGAAACCTTCACGTTTCGCTCTTTAATCGAGTTTGGATGACTGCCTGCATGTATATTTACATATATATTTACATAATGTCATGAATTATCTGTAGTTCCATAATTGCTTTTGTTTTCTAATTGCCTCTTTTAAACGAACTGCGCATGACAGATGTGCAGGTGTTTGCATCTTGAGGGTGTTGCAATTATAACTTCAAGGCGTCCTAATAATAAAGAATGATATTAAGCCCCCACAACCCCCCCCGTATCTATCAAATAGTGTTCACAGAGACCCTCAATTGTTTTTAGACAAATATGCATTTTATAGAAGCAATCCAGGCCAGAATGTCTAATGAGGCGCTGCGGCGGTAACTATACCTTATTGTCTGGAGACACTCATTAACAGGCGGTGGAAATGTTGCGTTCACACAGAATCATCAATTCTCTGCCTCCAACCCAAAGCCTCGCCGTTAATGGGTGTCATTCTCCGGCGCCGAGACAGCAGACAATTATTATTATGATTCACGCTGCGGTCCGATCCGAGCCCGCCGCCCCTGACAGCCAGGCTTTTAGCTTCGATTATTCTGTCAGCGCCGCGGCCTTCGCCCGCCGCTCCACGCACATCACAGCCGCCGGATCCCACGCCGCGGAAAATAACAACGCATTTGAAAACCAACAGATTTCAGCACGGCGCTGCGACCGTTCATGCCGAGGTTTATACTTATATATACTTATATGCTAAAGGCTCGCGCGGGCCACTTTTAGACTCATCACAGATCATCTTCAATTAATAAACACGTCTTCTCTCATCCTCTGGTGCTGATGGTTCAAGCAAGTGAGACATCTTCCAGAATATCGACGTTAAATGTAGGACATGTTTGCCCCCTTTTGGGCCGCTTGACAACGTCTCTCTTTGACATTTTGTTTTCAGCTGCATCAGGCTGCGTTCCACAGAAAGGCCTCTTAGAAACACATTCATGTGCAATTTGGCGAGAGTGGGCTGGAACGACAGCATATGCAGGTGTGGAGCTTAATGCTTTACTGAGAGCCTTTAAAATGTTTCACACGTGAAAGCCTTCAGCTGTGAGTGGTTCCTCTCGGAGGACGAAATGATCCGGCAGTCCGTTCAGGACAGTTTGTTGCAGCAGTTATCACCCAGAGTCATATAACGAGCTCCTCAGTGGCTGCGTGTTACGTGCCTTTAACACCGCTATCATTGGTAATAGAGCGGCTTTGAGCTCGGTGCAGAATGAGATCCTCTGCTTTAAATGGAGCCTCCAGAGGCCTCCGGCTCCTCGGTCCTCTGACCAACAGGCTGAACTGCAGCAGTCTGCAAGAGGTGAAAACGAGAGGGACGGCTCTCCGACGCCGAGCGCTGTGATCTCTGAGGAGATAACGCGCGTCGAGGTGCAGAGCCTCGCTGAGGAAACGAGCGGCCTGACGGCACCGGGACGACCTGCTCTCAGCCGGTGCTTTGGAGCCGGCGTCGGCGGCATCGTGACCGGCGAAGAAACGAGCAGACGACTCGGAGGGGAAATGGAGCCGGATGCTGAGAAGCCGTCGGACCTCGACAGCGACCTCGGCGGCGTTGGACAGAGACGTCCTCTGAATAACAAACGGCTGCAGCTTCACCGTCCACTGGAGAACAAACGCACCTCCTGTCGGGTTCTCACCTCGCAGACTAAACAACTGGCAGCGTTTCACACTGCATTTCATTTTTAGTCATCCGGATTTAAGACTTTAGCAAGAAGCATTACTCGAAAATCAACAGTAAGGGCGTCAGAATGAAGTTATTACAGAAGAAAATACATTTCTATTACTTATTCAGGAGAATAATGCTTGTAAATGTAGAGCTCTTCAGCTTCAAATGATGAAGTCAGATGAAATTACAGAAGACAAATGTAGTCGAAGGGGTCTCAGCCTGTAACAGAACACAGGAAGTGGTCCCGCTGTTTGAATCCACTGTGATAGAGAATACTGACGTAATAGATAAGACCCTGTTTCTTCCACACAATGGAAAAAAATAAAAGCAATGTAATGCCGAACTTCACTGACAAGAGCAGGGAACCGTTATCCTGACATCTGAGTGATGTGATGTGGCTTTTCATCTAAAAGAATATCCTCCCATCAAATGAATGTTTCATCGTTTCTTGTACCTGAGGAGGATTTAAAGGGAGAGAGAGTCCACAGTGTCACGTCGATCATTCATGAATAAACGATGGCAGTAAAAAGTCAGCACAAAAACAACCTTTGGAGCGCCGAGGCCTCGGCGCCGTCGAGCTCCATTAATCCCGACTGGCGTGATTGGTGGACTCGGACTCGGCAGAGACGGAGTGGGAGGCCGCGGCTCGCCCGCCCGCCCGCCCGCCAGCGCCTGATCCCCTTCGTTACCGTTTCTCTGAATAACAAAGCGCCCACGGAGACGCTGAATGACGATGAGCTCCACCAGCAGAAGGTCCCGCGCTTTCGGGACCCCCCGGGGGTCCGGCAGGGGGCGCTCCGCGTCGGTCGAGGCGGCTCGCTCGGCGAGTCAGAGCACGAGGTTGAGGTTGAGCCTTGGTGACTCCAGCTTCCTCAGTTTGTGTGAACGAGTCACCACAGTGAAATCAGGCGAGTTATGGATGAAATATATATATATATATATATATATATATATATATATATTTATAAAATATCTGAATATTAATATTGCAAAGTGTTGGTAGTTTTTCTTGATGAAGCAGTACTCAAGCTAAAAGAAAAAATCCGCCAAAAAATATTAGAAATGCAGATGTTGAAATATAGGAACAATGTATAAAATGGATTACTTTTTTAAATAAAGTAAAACTCATAAATTGATGATTGACACGAGGCTCCTCCGTCCTCAGTAACAAGAGACTGTGCCCTCCGGTGGCTACTAGACCAAAACTAATGAGAAAAACAAAAATAACGACCTCATTAAAAGATCTGTGACCAAATGCGTCAGCCGCAAACATGAACAACAAACCAAAAATACCAGTTTCATTTGGCTTTTTTCGCGCTGGATTGATATTCTGTCCGTGATGGATTGAACAAGCTGATTAAAGCGGCTGAATTATTAAGCAGGAGCCCGTATCGGTTCTCGAGCTGCCCGTGGCCCTCAACACTTAATTGATTAATTGAAATGCAGAGCGGCGTACTTTGCTAACTAATACCCTGAAGGTAAGGACACGGCAGCAGCTCTCCTCTCCTGGTTTAATTAGCATCGCTTTGACACATAATTAATAGCACAGGATGAGGGAATCTGATCTGGCTTCACAGCAACATATGGCGCCTTCCATCCACAGACCCCGCCCATCCTCACAGTGCAGCCCGCTGACGCCGCGGGAATTCATTTACATATTTTACAATACTGCGAACATAAATCACGTCACCCTCGATGTGCAGATTGTTTACACTCACGCCGGGAACCGACATTAATAGAAACAGAGCGCCGGCAGTCGCGCTTAAAAGGTCGTCTTGTTCATCGCCACAGAGTGAGCGAGCTCAGCGCATGCTAATCTGTAGAAAGGCCGACTTGCGAAACGCGGGACGAGGTTTCAAACAACCCGCGGGTTCATGAGCGCGATCCGTCTCCTCGGGAGAGAGAAGCTGATCATCTGAAACCGATCCGGTCAAACGAGGAGAAGAGCTGACACACACACACACACACACACACACACACACACAGTAAAGGTGATTCATGCTCTTTGCTGAGTAGTATTTGCCATAATAATAAAAGCACCACATTACTGGTTCTGTACCAGGAGTGGGGGTTGGATCCCTGACCGGAGGCCACCCTGGTTTACGATAAGGACCAAACACAGCAACAGCTACGTTGTTAGTAGAACGAAAGAAAATGGGAAGACACTTCGAAACACAATTCTCGATGAATTTTCAGCTTTTTTGGTTAAATTCGCATCCCTCCATCAACAAAAAACCCAAATGAAACTGCGCGCCAACATTTCAACTAATTAGTTTTGCCGCTACACATTTTAAGAAAGCTGTCTTTATTTTTCTAGTGGGAACGTCATTCTTTTAGGACGCACATAGCTGCACACATTCAAAGGGGCATTCGCGGTCCCGATTAAATATCGAAGATACAAAATAAAACATA